TTTCAGGGTTTAGGTTTTCAGGGTAAATGTTTTGTACCACTCGCCAGCACACCTATTCTCTCATATTCTATGACCCCCATACAAGGCACTCCGGGGGTCTACAAGGTATTTCAATGCCTAGTGCCCCCCCCCGTCAGCCACCCCCCAAAAGGCATTCTTTCGGTGCGGTGATACCGCAGGACTACCGCAGGCAAGTTAAATCTGGTTTTAACTGGCTTGCTTTTCTAATATCTGAGGTAGGGTCCGAATGGGTCGGGCGACCCTTTCGGACCCTGTTCCCAAGGGTACCCAGGGCCACCCTTCCGGACCCTGGATAAATCGAGGGTATCTAGCAACCGCTCTGCTCAACGCTGCCCAGAACCTGCCGCGCTGTGGGTCTGGTTCGCTCTGGGAGGAGTCCTGTCCCACCCACTGATAAGCACTGAAGAGGTCCAGGTGCGCATGCGCTGACTCGCATCTCGCCTGCAGGATTCGTCCCGGCAGCCATGTACAAAATGAGGTAGTGGTCACCGACGCTATGCGTTTAGAAATGACCATGCCGACCCCACTGTATCGCGCGTTCGGATCCGGCGAAACTATGAAAAGCCAGCCCGGTATTTGCCACGTAGATTCCTCACGACCCAGTCCCCAATGCAGCTCTTGCAGGAGCAGGACATCCACATCCGCATTCCGATTGAGCCACCTACATAGCGTATCATATAGGTCCGTGGTGACCCCTCCAAGGTTGTACGTCATTATCTTCAGGCGTGCACCCGGTAACCCGCGTGCTCCCACACGTGTCCCAGCTGCAGTTGGCCCAACACAGGCTTGAGTAGCCATGTTTGCATCTGAAGGAAGATGGTGCCTCTGCAGCGCTTGCGTTGTGCACCAGTGTCCTCGATACATTGTGCCTCCAGACTCGCTCCGTGCAGCGCGCCGACATGCGCGCTTGTACGCACGCTTTCTCATCCATGTAAGTCGGACTGTTCTCTTGTCCTGTCCAGATATTTTCGCCACCTCAGGAGTGGTGGCTCCTGGATGTGCTGTGGAAACACATCCAACCCTCGGGTCTGCAGTATAGGAATTGTCACGTTGGTCCATATCATGATACTGCTGTGGGAATTGGGACCCACACGGCCGTAAAGTCGTCATTCTGATGAGAGGTTGCAGAGCAAAGAGAAGTAGCAGGAAAGCAAACGGAAAGTGCCCCATGCCGCAAGCGAAAACTCTACCTGCAAGCTCAATCTCCAGCCGAGACCCCTACTACTAGTAGTAGTAGTAGTAGTAGTAGTAGTAGTAGTAGTAGTAGTAGTAGTAGTAGTACGCTCCATCACCCTCGTTTGCGCCGCTTTCTTTGTCGCTCAGGTCTGCATTGCACAAACCATGATAAAGTCCATGCTACCAGCCCATCCGTTGGCCAGTGCGTCCATGCCCAAACCATGAAAGGTCCATGCTACCAGCTCATCCATTGGCCATCCATGCTGAAACCATGATAACGTCCATGCTACCAGCCCACAAATTGGCCAGTGCATCGACGCCCAAAGCCCAACCATTGCCCAGTGCATCCATGCCGAGACCAGTCCTGCCGGCGCACTGCCCTCTCTAAATCAACAAGTCCGGCCGCGCAGAAACATCGAGTTTTTTTTTGCGATTTTTGCTCCGCCTAACACCATACGGGGACGCCATGTTGAAACTAACGGTGTAGGGGACGCCAACCTGTGCTTACGGTAGATGTGGCTAGCCGTCCAAGAACCAAGTCTTCGGCATCCAGATGCCGTCATCGGCATCCAGCGGCCGTTATTGGCAAGCAGCGCCGCCATCAGCATCCAGCGGCCGAAAAAACAACGTCCCAAGCTGGAAAACTGCAGAAAAAGGCAAAGGAGCATGACCCGAAACACTTTGCAGACTGTATGCAGCAGCAAATCTGGCCCTCAGTCCAACCGCTTTCACTCGACAGGTTGACATCCTTGGCGAAAGCATTGCATAGCCTTGCGACTCAACGCGGCCTCTCAGAGACAGCTGCTGCCGATGAGCAAACCGCGGCCAAGCGCATCGCGGTCGTTGTGAGAAGGCGACTGTCGAGAGCATCGAGAATGGCCCAGTGCGGGCCTGAGGTCATGAGCAGTTGGAGTCGACGGAAGTTGACGTTGCCAAGCTTCACGATGTCAATGAGCAGCAAGAAACGAGTGCGGTGCCAGTGACTGTTAAACAAGGCAACAAGCGGCTGATAGAGTGGAACTGCCTGTGGATATGCCTGTAAGGGCAAGCACTGCTCGCTCCGCAAAGGCCTGAACGCTCGTTCGTGGCAATTGGAACAGCGTCAGCAGCCACCGTGAACTACGTCAAGCTTTGTACCAGCCTGGCGAAGCAGCCGTCGCCGGGCAGGTAGAGCATGCGAGACTCGCCATTGCCCTGCTCCACTGGGATGGCCAGGACATCGTGCTTGGATGCCGCCCTGACAAACCAGGCATCCCGCCTTTGCGGGCTATACGTCCCGTGGTCACGATGTGCTCCAGCTCGGCTTCCTTAAGAATGGCTTCAACTTCGTCCTGAGTCCACTTCGGAGGCATGTGCGAGAGCCTTGACCCTTTCACAACCAACTCATGTTGCTGATCAACTCGGACTCCGAGCTGTCGCCTGCCAGCCACCGGCCCCCATTGGGGCGTCCGTTTCGACATCATTCGCTTCCATCCACTTGACCGCCAGCGATGTACCATCAACAGTGCGGTTTATAAAGGTATTGAAAACAAGCCACCGATCCCACTCTTGTGCAACAGCGTCTTGGCATGAGTTGCATCAACTCTCAGCAAGGCCACAAGCGTGGGGCCACGCGTATGCTCCAAAGCTCCGCCCCGAAGGTCCTTCACCATGGAAGCACGTCCCATGGCAAATCCGCGAAGGTTCTTGGTGGCCTGTGTCCAATCAGCAGCCGATGCCAAGCTTTGCACCAGCGCAATTCGTAAGACTATCGGGGGCTACGCCTTGATTTTTTTGCCTTTCACCTTGCGGGGCGGCAAGCACAACTCCAGCGACCTCGTACTTCAGCATGTTAACACGATGCAAGCGACCTTGCCCTTCTGCCAAATCAAAATGGCATCTGCAACTTGCCCGCATCATCCCTCCGCGTCGTCTAAGACGGGACTCCGAAGTCCGCGTCCGGAAACAGGAACTTCCAACACCTCCGCCTCCTCGCGATTCTTCGCGTGAACAAGCAAAGACTCGCTTGCACCCCCGTGCTCAGCAAGAGCCTCGGCCGTGACAAGCTTCGCATGCCAATCATCTGGCCTAAGCTCTCACTCATCATGCTTCAAACTGCTTGTCCGCAGCTTTTTGGCGCCTTTCCAGTGCCTTTGCCTCTGGCAGCAGCGGGTGGCTGGCCGCGAACCCTGCCCGATTTTCCATCGGCTTTCCCTGACTGCTTCCCAAAAGCCTTGGCCAAGGATTGGCGTTTGGTGGAAGGCTGATTTGTATCTCGTCCAGCGGTAAGGTCAGGACTCAATGCCTTTCCAGCTTTATTGCCCTGGCCCTTGCCCCGCCTTCGATGGCCCACTGTCTGCCACTCACCCTCAACTGTCACACGACGTTGCGTCTGCTCTACCGCAGCCGCCGGCCATAGCAAACCCTGAACAGCTGTCTTTGCTTGTGTCACAAGGCTCCGGACTTCGTCATTTCCGGTCAGCTTTTCCACCATCTGACTAAGAACTTGCACTGAGGAAATGAGCATTGCAATCCGCCCCTCGCCAGCTTCGGGCTCCGGGTTTGAGGCCTTACTAATTCTTTGCCCCGCGGAGCTAATCAATCGCCGCAACTTGCAAACAAAGGCCACTTGCCCGCAATCCCCTGCACAGCCTATGCCAAGCGACACATAGTGGTGCGACTCGCCCTGATCGCAGGCTGCACGGTCACCATTGAGCTCCAAAATGGTAGCCTCCCTTGCAAGCGAAGTCCTCATAAGCGAGTAAACCCTACCTGCAGTCCTCAGTCCCTCTGTCTGTCACATTGAACTCGCATATGTCCGCTGTGGCCACGAGGAGGTACAACATGGCAGGTTGAACAATGCTAACATATGCATGTAAAACCAGCAACATCGGCCGTGCAGAAACATAGGCTTTGTTGGGTTTTTGGCTCCGCAATACAGCAAAGTTGAATAATGCTTATGTACATACGGAAGTATCGGCCCTGCCATGCTTTTCGCACTGTGTTCCAAAACAAACTGGGGCAAACGACGGTGATGGACCCTATAGTAGTCGCCGCAGCAGCAGCAGCAGCACCAGCAGCAGCAGCAGCAGCAGCCGCAGCAGCAGCAGCAGCAGGAGTAGTGATAGTAGTATGTGTGATAGTAGTAGTAGTAGTAGTAGTAGTAGTAGTAGTAGTAGTAGTAGTAGTAGTAGTAGTAGTAGTAGTAGTAGTAGAAGTAGTAGTAGTTGTTGTTGTTGTTGTGATAGTAGTAGTTGTAGTAGTTGTAGTAGTTGTAGTAGTTGTAGTAGTTGTAGTAGTTGTAGTAGTTGTAGTAGTTGTAGTAGTTGTAGTAGTTGTAGTAGTTGTAGTAGTTGTAGTAGTTGTAGTAGTTGTAGTAGTTGTAGTAGTAGTAGTAATAGTAGTAGTAGTAGTAGTAGTAGTAGTAGTAGTAGCAGTAGTAGCAGTTTTTTTGTCACCCACATGGCACGCCAATGACAGCTCCGCGGGGACTTAAGGGTCACTAGTCGCAAGAGCATCCCAAGTAGTAGCAGTAGTAGCAGTAGTAGTAGTAGTAGTGGTGGTAATAGTCGTCGTGGTTGTGGTCGTGGTCGTGGTTGTGGTGGTGGTGGTGGTGGTGGTAGTAGTAACAATAGGAGTAGGAGTAGTAGGAGTCGGACAAGGAGAAGCAAAAAGGATGAAAAAGGATGAGCAGCCACAGCGAGCGCTGAGCCGTAGCAAGGGCAGTAGAGTCGTCGCAGGGCCAAGACCACGGAGCAGGACTTCACTCACAGTAGCAGCAACCTTGTCCATGCTGTGGCTACTTCAAGCATGGCTCGCCCGGCCAACTCTGGGAAGTTCACGACCTTCAGCGCCCGTCCGAACTCGAAGCCCAAAGCCTCGCTCTTCGAATGCTGAAAGCTGAACACTGCTCGGCGACTCAGACAGGTAGAAAAGGACGTCAAGTTCAGAGTTTTTGCGGGCACGAGAGGACCAGCACCAAGTGGTTTCGACTGTCACTCTCGCATACGTTCGATTCACAGCAAGCGGTCCAACACAGAATTTGCGAGTACACTGGGGATACTTGGACATTACAGGTAGATTGAGGAGAGGAAGACTGTACAGCCCAGCACCGGCACGGAATCCTCAAGAAAACCGCCCTGACTCGATGCAAAGATCCGATGTGCTCACAGTGGAGCAACCAGGAAGCTTCTGAAACAATTCAATTACGACTCCATGCTGCAGCGGCGCAAAACTCCAGCAAAGGCACATCTACCAGCAGCAATGACTGACAAGAAAACTTGTACTAGCAGCCATGGGGGAGCAGCAGCAATAGCGTACAAGTCATCACTCCCTCCCGTGACCCATGCCAGGACTGCTAGGAACCTCTGCAGCCGCTGTCTTACCCGTGCCCGCGCCGCCCCAGAACAGGGCCGTGGTCACCACCGGCCTCGCGTGCGGGGTGCTGAAGGGCCTGGAGTAAAACCGAACTCTTGCGTTTGCCAAAAGAAAACGCACCTGCATACGGTTTGGCGATCCGCCGGCAGCAGTCTCCAGGTGCCAAACTTGGTCCCCCTTAAACCGAAGAAGGTCACAGTTCAGTCCGGGGGGCTTCGTAACTCCATCAACTTTGCCCGGACCTTCGCTACCTGAGTTTTGTTGGGGGTTTAGCCTCTTTCGTGGAGACTCGCAGTGACTCCGTCCAAGTGATCCAGACAAGTCACCGACATCTCCGAAGCCCCAGTTCTCGAGCAAGAGGGGCCTGGCCTTTTCGAACGCCACGATGTCCAGCAGTTTCCTCTTTCAAAGTACAATCCCGGGCGCTTCTACACCTGAGACAACTCTGGGATCTGTGCTGCCGAGGCTCTGTTTCAGCGTAGCGGTCAGGACCAAAGCATCGAGCCCTGGCGGACACAGCGATGGCGGGGAATCGCGGCGATCCACTGACGATCTGTGGTACAAAGAGCTGCTTTGACACACCACCGTAGGAGGAGACGCCTTTGAAAGGCCCTAGCCCCAGGGCCCAGAAAACCTCAAATCCCGTCCCTAGAGCGCCCTTGACCCAGTTCCCCGCCCGCACCTGCACGGGGAACCAGCCGTTTTGCGAAGCTCTGCATCTGAAGGGAACCACGCACCTGCATCAGTGTAGGGCCAATGACTGGACTCTTGCAGTTCACGCCGGCACCAGCCCCCTCCAGCAAAGCCTGACTTGCACGAACACCAACCCCGCATGAAATCCGGGAGGGAGGAGGATGGCAACAATGTGAATGGCATCAGCTACTGCTACAATACTACGCAGGATCTCGGCTGATGCCCCCACCTGCATGATGCACCCGCCCGTGATGTCTTCTTCCGTGACCTGCGGCTGCACATTGTCGCCTTAGCTGCATCGAGACTAACATCCAGCCGGGAACCATTCGCGCATCGCGGTTGAAAAAGGAAGCTGTCGGGAAAGAAGGCCTGCTCTGAAAACTCGTGAGGCCATGGACAACGAAGGCTTACTGTGGAACACATTGCAACATCCTGTGCAAGTCTGCCTTTTTCGGAAGTGCGGACAGTTTTCTCCAAGGGGTCGATAGTCACAACGACGATGTCAAATTACATTCCTGCGTTATCCGTATTGCCATGAGCTCAACATATGCTGGGTTGGTTATGTGCTGTTGGGTACATGGCAAGACAAGGTACTCCCCACGTATCAACCTGATTCCCCACAGCCACCCCGCCTCCGCTAAATTTGGGCGAATCCTGTGAACTGCTCACGACATGTGTCTCGCTTGGCAAGTTCAGGGCTGGGCTGAGGAGCTAGAGTTAGTGGATTTGCTGCATCAGCACCAAGCCCAGCCACGCGAGATTGCCAAGAGCAGAGCGCTCACGATCGCGTTTTTGATGTAGCCCCCCGTGAGAGCGAACTTCATCGCGATCTTCTCCCAGTCGATTCCGGGAGCCAAAGGGACACCTTCATCTCTCACGAGAGGATGAATCAAGGAGCCCTAGCCTGGCAATCTGACAACATCCAGGATCTCAGTGGCTGGGGAACCCCACCTGACTTCGTATAGAGGTTCCAGATCTCGAGTCTCTGGATGTGGTCGGGCTTGCTGAAGGTGAAGACCGAGGTAATCCGACGATACATGGCCTCTGCTTGAAGACAACTCTACTTCCCCCGCGGTTGCCCGACACTTGCATGTTGCGACGCAGCAAAGCCCAGGCCGAGCGACCTCATCCAGGTCGAAAGGGCGGTTCGTGGCCAGGAAAATCATTCCCTCGTATCCTTGGATGGCCACCACATTCCACGACAGGGTCTTCAGCCAGATCGTAGGAAAGAAAAGTGGGATCTGCAACACCCGGAACCTTTCTTTGACCCCCAGGAACACACCCAAGTTCAGATCGCGCTCCCTGGCCCCTGCCTTGAGCCCCGCAACCGAAGACGCAAGCATTTCATCTCCTCTTGCATCTTTAAACTGGCGGACAAAGCCCTGAAATCCAAAAAAAAACCGAAAAGCATCTCCAAATCTAGGCGGAATCTCTCTCCATAGCTGTCAGCAAAGCCGTCATCTCGGAGTTGCCACCCGTGGAACGCTGCGAAAAGAGCGACTCGCACCTGCATATCGGAGAGGAGACGAGACGCAGAAACGTCAAACATGGCACTAGTAACAAGTATTGTCGAAGCCATCCTGAAGACACGCTGCACTGCACTTCTAGTCCACCACACAGCTGCGGGATGAGGACATGCACGGGGCCGTGCCAAGAGCACCGTTTGGGAAGGTGGGAACACGGGCTGCGGCCAAAATTTAGGGCGGGAGTGTGGTTTCAGTAGGGCGCGGAACTGTGGCAGGAAGAGAAGTCGCATCAAAAGATGTGTGGCAGTACGGCGGGAAAACGATTGCGGACTATGGAGAAACCTTATTCCTCAAATTTTTCTTAGAACGGTAGGATTTCCGCACCGACGAGCCTGGCGCCGGTGAGTGCAGTATGGCAGTGGGCACGAGACCATGGTGGAAATTGTCGTGCGATACATCAAATGTGCGAGCGCCAAAACAATGAATTTGGCGATGAATCGGCCCGTGGACAGCCAACGCTTGCCGAGAGTGTCTCGCGAGGACGGCGCTCTGAAGTATGCATATACATATATACATGTAGTGACTTGCAAACATATACATGTACATGCTCTTGCACAGGCATCTGTACATTCACATACATATGCACATACCCACAGATTCTGATAGATAGCTAGCTAGCTAAATTGGTATGCAGGCATGCAGGTAGGTAGGCAGGTAGGCCGGTAGGCAGATAGGCAGGTAGGCAGACAGGCAGGCAGGCAGGTAGGTAGATGTATGTACGTATACACACACACACACACATATATATATATATATACACACATAATATGTATGTATGTATGTATGCATGTATACACATACGTACATACATACATACCTACGTACGTACATACATACATACCTCCTGCAAGCAAAGAAAGGGCAAAGGTCATTCCCTCATTTCCTAAACTACATCTTCTCCCTCTCCCGCTTCTGAGAGCCCTGCTCATCGAAGAACAAGACTGCATCGCTCATCTCCTTGAGTGACATGTTCCGCTTCGGCTTCGGGGCTGCACAGACTAATTACTTTCAGCATCTCCTGTGGCCGATTTGAGCCTTGTGTTCTGCCAGGAGAAACCTTCTGCATTGAGGAAGTGAGTGGCTTTGCAAAGGCCACAGCTCAAAGAGGTAGAAACCAGCTGCGCGATGTGACGGGGGTGGCATTTGGGGAATCACTGGCTCCCATGTCCCGACCCAGCTGAAGACTACAAACCAGGCCACACCCACTACATCGCACAATTGGCACAATCCAACCCCTAGCTACCTAAACTTGTGCACATCTGGGCGTCCGCTTCGCGGAAGAGCTTCAAGACGCTGGAGCCATCCTCATCCGAGCCCAGACCAGGTTCACTGTGGTGGCTGTACAGCGTCTTGAAATTCACCTGCACATCAGGCTTTGCATACGGTGAAAGTGAAAGAGCTGCCGTCAGGCCTCGAATCTCCGCTACAAGGCTTCCAGTGGTGGTTTAGATGCTGTGACAGGCTTGGTTTCGGAACAGCATGACGAATCGTAAACGATGCTTCCAATGGGGAAAGACTGAAACTAGGCGCCCCTTTGGGACATCCTACTCTGTGGATGACATAGAGTTGTGACGGGGGCCCATGGGCCCGGCTAGAAACCGCTCAACGAATCTTTTCAATAACACCCAAACCTGATAGGCGTCGCAGCACACAAGCAACATCTGAGTCCCACGTTCGGGACCTCTTTTGCTGGATCCACTTCACTGGGTCACAGGATCGCCAATCGTTGCTAGCAAGAGTTACTGTAAGGCTTCAGAGTTTCAAACCACACGTGAGGAGGTCTGAGAACGATGGCAGGATTGAGACCGACGCTGTTGAAACGATGGCACTGTGATCCAAGGCATCTACTGTGTAACTAGGGTCCACTCTAGGGAATCATGCAAACCACGAGCATGCGACCATGCCACCAACAAGACTCGCTTCTCCAAATGGGCAGCCAGGGCGTTCACCATCAGTGTCTTTCCGGTGCCACTCGGCCCGCAGAACATCAAAACCAGCCCGGACCTGAGGTGGAGAAGGATTGCGCACCAGGCTCTTGCTTCTTCCATCACTTACTCTCTGGTATACCTCTCTGTGCATAAAAAAACATACATGGATGGTTGGATGGATGGATGGATGGACGGACAGACTGATGGATGGATGGGTGGATGGATGAATGGATGGATGGAAGTAGGTATTTACGTATTTAGGTACGTAGGTATGTAGGTGTAGGTATGTAGGTGTAGGTATGTAGGTATGTAGGTATGTAGATATATACATATGTATATATGCATGTATGTATGTGCAAAAACATTTTGGATAAAGACATATCGGTAGGTATTATGGAGATAGATATAGATAGATGGAAAGATAGATAGATAGATAGGTTAGATAGACAGATAGATAGACAGACAAACAGATAGTCTTTGCTTTGCTCGGGGCCTGGACTAGGAACAGTCTTCCCAGCCCACGCCCAGGGCCCGTCCGGTGCACCCTCTGCATTCAGAGAAAACAAGCTGCAACATATGTGCGCGACGAGGTTTGGAATGTGCCCCGATTTGATCTGCGCTCCTTGACTACTTACAACCTGGCCTAAGCCTCTCTCCCTCTCCGCCGTTCCCGTCGGACCGGTCTAATCTACCTCAAGCAATAAACTGCTCGTAAAGTCTAAAGTGTATGAGGCTTCAGGCAAGAGACCCATGTGCAATGACGTCATCGAGACCAGAGGACCTTCTGTACTTGCAGAACCTCCCAGCAGTGGAGATTGCGGAACGCAAGCCAAACGTGGTCTCAAAAGCTATACACCAACCACTCTGTCTTGCTCCTGCTACATAGGGACGAGGAGCTGCTCGAAATTGTCCACCAATGCCAAGATGTTGCTCTTCATGTCTTCGGGCAGCACCAGTTGCTGAAGCGTTGCGCTGGGCTTGTACAAGTTGCTTCCCTCGACAACTTCGTTGATCTCCTTGGCTGCAAGGCTTTCAAGCTAAGACAAGAATGGGTGATGTTTTGGGGAGCCTCCGCCTAATTCCTTGCTGAGGCCATGGTCATGATCCGCGCAGGCCAAGAAGGATGTCACACGTCGCGATGCTTTATTTCGCAACCTTCTCGATTTTTCAAAGTCCAAGTTGGATGCTAGTGCCACTGTTTGCCCGCATCTCAAGAGCTCGTGCCGGCCGAGCTTCGGTATCTAGACCGACAACAAAGTCCAGGATGCGGCGGTCTATGTGGACAGTGTGGCATGTGAGATCACCACTTCTGGCCCCAGCACCAAGGCGGATGATGCCACTGCCTCGGCTACACTCACAGCATCACTCACTGCCCAGTTCTTGGAGACCCCCACCCTCTCCTTTTTCAAGCGCCGATGCAGCCTGGCCACTGGCCAGCCGGCTGCTCTTGTAAAAATAGACGCGCTTCTGGACTTCCTCCTTGAAGTCGCGGCAGAAAGTTTCCAGGATGACCCTCACCTCTCCCGGGCCAGATATCCCAACACATCCGGTCAGAATAGTGCCTCCCCCCCGAATCTTTTCAGAGTGCTGGCCTGAAGAGGCGCGTTTGCCAGGAAGCGCCTTTCCCCCACATTCAGTGTGGCTTGGATCTTGGGCGACAAGGTGTTTCCCACCAGCATCACCACCTCAACTTTCGACCATAAACAACTCAAGTGTGAAAGTGCCAGCGTTGCAGCGAAGGTGCTACGTTCTTCTCGAAATCATCCAACTTGGTCTTTTGATGTAGAGCCTCTTAGCACAGGACATGCTGAGCCATTTTCACGAATGTGAATTTCGAGTCCCGAAGAACCCCTGTGAAACCTTCACACCCTGAACCCCTTAATGAGCAGTTATCCGTGCCGCACCTCCAATCGCGGGACTTCAAGTCCTGCTTCTTTGGTGAGCTTCAAACGGTGGCTGATGCGGGCCAGGGCCAGCTTTCCTGGCAAAACTCTATAACGATACCGAATAAAACTAGACCGCGCTGTCGCGCTTATTATGAGACGGCCCAGACAAGCGGCCCGTACGGTTTCGACCCCCTCCACTTGGCGAGGCTTCTGAGAGACGACCTCTACCGTTGCTCCCCGCATAGACGTTAGAAATGGCTGACCGAAAACCGGCCAGAATCTCCTTGCCATAACAAGTAGGGAAAAGGCCCCGCAGACCCCGGATGGCCCGACTGCTGTGAGGTCTGCAGCACGACTCTCACGACAGGCTCTGGGGTTCAGGGCTTCATGGGCTCACAACATCGCATACGAGAAATCAGGATATTGTCAATGGTACAACCGACATATCGCTTCCATCACTGTACCCACTGTTTCGACTACTCGTGGTTTCTTGCAGGAGGTCTTTTGATGACTCTACACCAAACACAGGCTGGGCGCCGGTCAAGCACTCATTATGAGTGGTCAGAAATGACCATAAACCTGGACTTATAATACCTATCTACTGATATACGTACTGATCGCGTGCGATTATGTATCCTGTCTAGGTGACTATCTATAGTGGGGAGTGTGTATAAATATGCCCATCTGGTCTCTGGAACGAGAGCCGGAGTTTGTAAGAATTCAGTGTTTCAACACAGCAGAATATCACAACGCTACAAGTACATCTTTATCTATATATCCATATATGTGCACATATAAACCACGCCCCGACAGAGAGAGCGAAAGAGAGAGAGAGAGAGAGAGTTATGCATTTATCTACTTCTGTAAATATATATATATATATATATATACATGTATTTATATATATATATATGTGTGTGTGTGCGCATATGTGCGTGCACGCGTGTAAGTTTGTTCTGCTGCCTCTTGCTGCTGCAACTCGGAACACATATTGAAACAGAGCTGGGTAAGGAGCCGCTGTGGCCCACAATGAGTTGCTGTCCGAGCATCTTTTCGCCTCGTGCTCAAAGACGTTGACTTTGCGGGATCTCAGGAGAAACGGCTCCTGGTCGCAAAACGAGCTTCTGGAAGCATGACATGCCCGGCTCTGCCTCTGATTTCGGCATCTCTTAACAGTCTTAACAGGCCACACGATGGAAAGCGTCCTCGATTCCCACGTCTTCCTTGGTAGATTGTCGCCTGTGTTCGGCGATACGGATTTCGCACTCGAGGAGGCTGAACTGGTCATTGAGGTAGTCCAGCGACTCGCGGTATGGCTGCTGCAACAACTCTGTGTCGTCCTCACCGGCCGTCCTTAGCTGGGAGAAGCTGGCATCTAGAATACAAAGTGCATTCCTACAATGGCAAGACAAGAAGAAGGACAGAGTCGGATAGACTCTATGGCGAAGCGCGCCAGACAACTGCAGGTCCCGTGCAACCGAAGCTCTCCGATGCAGTTGCAGTGACCTCCTGACAGCAGGGAACACACAAGGTAGCGCAGCCAGGCAAAGAAAAACCCATGTACAAATCAGTAGTAGTATTAGTTAGTATTAGTATGAGTATTAGCATTAGTATTAGTGTTTGTATTAGTATTAGTAATACTATTAATATTAGTATTAGTATTGCTCTTTCTGCAACGTTAGCTCGGGCCCCTCAGCCCTGCAACCGCACGGCACCTGGCCATCCTGGCCGGCCCCGTTTGGGATCTCCGGGATGAGATCTGCAGGCTCCGGGATCGGAGCTGGAGGAGCCGCATCCGGACTCCGGCGTGGCTCCTCCGGTGTAGAATCGCCTGCCAGCAGAGGTTTCGCACGTTCAATCATGCTACTGAGTGACTGGGTAGGCATCATGCGGCTAAGTTTGAGAATTTGACGGAGCCCTTTTCCGAGGAAGGCTGCCAGCTGGACGCAGGAAAGACAGGGGTCAGAATAACATGTTTCGACTTTGTCTGTGCTCTCTCTCGCTTTGTTGGAGAAACTGCAACCGAACCAACATCCTCAAAAATGCGAGGCCGGTCGCACAAGGGAACCCGGCCCAGGCCACAGAGCGGACCGTTTCCTGGGGCCAACAAGCCCGCCAATAAGAGATGATTAACGAAAATGCGATGATCAAACCTTCGACCTCGCATCCTAATGTTTCGACAAGATCATGTGTTCCCAGGCTGCCCGCGAACCCGCTTCCAGAGAATATCAAAGCCTGATGTTAAGAACACTGGCTCTCACTAGGCAGGCCTCAAGCTCTCCGGGGCAACAGAATTCTCCAAACCGAAAGTTCGAACCCGGCTCCGATCCACATGCCTCTCAGCACAGCATCGATGACTGTAGAGCTCAGCTTCAGGCGTTGCTCGGTGTTGAGCTCCTGCGTGGCGCAAGACCCCATCTAGCATCTAGCAATCGGCCTGTTGCTGACCCTGAAGCACTGAAACATGTTCAAGCCCACACCGCCCGGCACAGTAAAACACAATGAGCCCCCAAGCCCGTGAAGCCACAAAAGCTCTGGCAGCAAACTTACTTGTCTTTCAAGAGGAAAATGGCATGTGATTCAACCTGGCGCAACGTCCTGGAACTGAGGTCTAGGTTCTAAACCTTGTCTGTGATTCCCCTGGGTGTGGCCATGATTCGACTTTGATTTGGCTGTGACGTTGGAACTTGCCTCCAACTTCTTTCCATGATGCCAGGAGGTTGTGGGATCAGTTAGTCTGGAACCTTAAGCCTAAAAGCGACAAATCTTCTGGAAATCTAACGTAAGAATGTCCTGGCACATGGACATACGCATCTGTGCATAGGTCTCTGTGTTGTGTGCGTGCGCGGGTTCGGAAGCGGGTGTGCAAATTGGTAGAATATGGTTCGAGTATGAGTATGAGTACTGAAAGCAACGATTATGAGGTCCTTGCCCATCAGCGCATGCACCGCCTCAGGCGAGACCGTGGGCTCCTTCGACTCGCCATAGCCACCATCCTTCCAACCGGACAGAAGGCAAGTTACACGTGCATACAAGCACACACATATACATACAAATGTACATAGAAATATGCGTGCATACCTACATACATGCATACATACATACGTACGCAGACAGACAGGCAGACAGACGGAGCGACAGACGGGCATGCATGCACACCAAGAAGCTGTGCATGTTTTACGACATGTGTGGGCATGCATCTGCACATGACATGTGTGCTTATTCTAGTGTTCTGTATAATATAGTTATCTGTTCATTCGTTTATACATACATATCTAATTTCATACATACACACATCCTGCCTTTACAACGCACGCGAACAACTCGGAAACTCCAGGCGGGCTGTGTCTGCCAGAGTGCTTCAATTGCCAAGGTCATTGACTTGGATGCGACTGCACGCGCACATTAACCCTGCCCATGATTTCAATGGTGAATGCAAAGTGAAAAGGCGGGGACACCCAGAGCCTGGATACGGACAATGCCCTCGTTAATGTGCTGCCTCTTCTCCTGTAGAAAGTCCTTCAAGCAAAGTCAGCATGACAGTGACAGGCTGCAATCAGCACAGCGACCAAACGGCTGCATTCAGGCCCTCGCTGTCCTGCACATCCAGCCGCGAATTTCGACAAAGGCTACACAAAGGCGAGTTCCCATCTGACAAGTTGCCACAATGGTCGCCAAGGAAGCGACAAACAACGCGACTTCGCGCACACTCGCGGATGACCTTGTGCTGATGGGCTGTGGCCACAGGCACCTACCTGCTCTGCTAAGCCTAGCTAGCTTGTGCAAGCGACTTCGAAATGCTCGGGGCCTCACTAGAAGTCGTAACAACTCGGCCTCACTGTCCTTCAGCCCGTAGCGACGCTCCACTTGGACTCCGCGAGGTGTCTGTGCCTGAGCAAGAATGGCAAATGGCGACAGGGCCCTTTCATGCAAATGCCCCGTGCACGTGAAAGTTTGTATGAAGGAAAGCTTCAAGGACTCAGAGCAAAAGCAAAAGCTGAGTCGGACAGTTTTGGAAGCAACACCAACAGTAGAGTGGCCCGGTGCTGGATGGCTAGTTACATGCCGCCATCTGGACGGTTGAGGGACCCCGTTGGCCCACACACCAACATTGGAAAAGTTCGTTGCACGGATCCCAACGGAAGCGGAAGCCCGAACCCTCAACCCGGATCCGTGAACCTGATGTCAGCACTTATGTCTGTTCACTGCGGTATGCATGGCTGCTAGTACTTATATACGTGATGTACATATATACGTACGTACATACGTACATGTATACACAGAGAAACCAACTTTTCATCCATCCATCCATCCATCCATCCATCCACCCACCCACCCGCCCCGCCGGCTGGAGCTCACATGGAGACACACAGACAGACAGACAGACAAGCAGAAAGTGTGTGCTGGTGCGCAGACATGTTTATGCGCATCTATCTCTTCAGTAATTATCTATGGCGGCTATATACGTCACAGCGATAATATGTGCACGTGCATATACCTAGACATTTGCGTAGGCATGCACAGGCATACATAAACCCATACGAATGAAACCAGTTCTATGCAGCCTATGCATACCTGTATTTTTTGTGTACGCATGGTTTTTTGCGCATGGCCTTGCATGTGCGTACATTTATGTATGCATACAGCTGCACGCATGCACGCATAAAATGTGTGGTGTGCTTGTATCCACACGTATCGCAACTTCGGGCACCAGGGGGCCGATTTCGCCAACCGTGGCTCGGTGGTCTGCTCGAAAGACTTGAGGAGTCGGTCCATAATCTCTACCTGCGGTGAGGGAGGTTGGTTTCGGGTCTAGGAATCACATCGAGACTATGTCGTACTTCGTTCTCTGGAGAACCGCGTAGGTTGTCGCAAGGAAAGCTAGACCAACAAGAAGCACTGTACCACAGAAGCGATTGCAGGCAGCAGAAGGACTTTTGACGACATCAACAAAAACTCACGCAGAAGCACGTTTGTACTATTTCACGCTGACATGTTAGAATCTGCACCTCCACTTCACAAAGTCTAAGGTCCGCCTCAATCAGATGTGCTGCTCTTTCTGACTTTCGCTGCCCCATGCCGCCCCGAGCCCTGCATCTTTGTGAACTTTCCAGGCATCCAATCTAAGCACCCGTCCCCGCCTTTCGCCACGACTCGTCCGAGGCTTCACCTGCACAAGCACTCGGAGTATCGACAATTGCTTCGACAGCTTGCAGGGTTTCGATTCTGCTCCTTGCTCTGGCTCTTGCTACCTGCAACTGCAACTGTCCAAGCTCCTAAAGCTTAGACGGTCTAAGCTAGACCGAACTCCCAGTCTTGCGAACTGGCTACTGCCGCATGTAGCAAATCGGGCTGAACTTGTCTGCCAGCTGCTCTCGGCATATTCGACCATTCTTCGTCTCTGATTTGGCAACGCATGAGTCATAAGCTGCAAGGAAGCCGGCACGGAATCAAGTTGGACAGAAGTAGAGCTACTGGTAGTGCTGAAAGGATAAGACCCCACAGCCCCGCGCTGCGAAAGGAAACACAGCTGTCAGGGCTCCAACCAGAATGGCATTCCCGGCTATTGGCTATTCGGTGACCTAGGGGCTTAGTTGTAACCTTGCCAACTTTCCACGACAGCTCGCAATGCCAAGGCATCGTAGAACATCACACATCTCGGTACTGGATCGTCATGCGAACGCACGTGGCTGTCGGATTCACTTTTACCCCAAATGTTCCTACGGAATTACGTACTGACATCACTGCCATGCTTCGCCTCGCATAACGAGGTGACTGCGTTCCAACTTCTTGAAAAAAGAAACCGAGGCGGCCTGAACCACGCTCGAAGCGCATCGCCGCAGACTCCAGGCCCTCCTGGGTTTTTCTGTTGAGGGTGAAGGTCTCTTTCACGGTCTCTCACGATTCTTTGTGTCTCCTTGTGTCTCGTTCTCTCCATAATGAGAGCTCTGGATTGCGAGCTGGGGGCCGAAGCAGACGAAGCAAACCCAGGAAGTACCCCAATTCTAGGCCTCTCGGCATGGTAAGAACGGTTTCGATTTCGCGGTGTTGCCGCGCGTCCTCGAGACGCAGGAGGAGGCAGCGAAGTCCGAAGCGGGCTTCGATGTGTCGCCACCAGGATGCATCGTTGGCGAAGCCGTCCGTGTGCGCCAGCTCCTCACTATCGCAACTTGGCCACGGGAGTTTTGTCTGGAGCTTCGGCAGTGTACACGCAGCACGGCTTTGTAAAGCCGAAGCATGAGTTGCTGTCCTCCTCGAACTCGGAGACAACCATCGCCAATTCAGGGCAGAACTTCTCAAGCTCGGCCAGTTGCAGCTGCACTGAGGCTGCATCGTCTCCAGCCTCTGCGACTTTGCCGTCACTTGACACTTGACGACGGCATCTTACAGCTGTGCCGACGCCACATCTATGCAGATCTGAGATCTGACAGAGGTCCCTTGAAGCACGCGGTGCCTTCCCAGGGCCGGGAGCCGGACGTCTTGCTGAGGCCTGCCAGGGCTGCACGGGCACAGATGGAGCTGAGCCCCCCAACATCCCCGAAAGCTGCCCGAAGAGTAAGGGCCTGCACGTGTAGCCTACAAGCAGCCTCATTGTGCATATCTAAACACATGGTTCTTCTGCCTTATGGGAGCCGTTGGCGGGCCGCCAGCTTCGACTCATGGCTGCTGGGGCGAGGCCACAGAAACCCAGGCAGCGAATGTCTGAATTATAGCTCAGTGGTGCAATGATGCATGCGAGGACGTTGTAACATATGCTTCCTTGATACAGCAACCAAAGGATTTGAATGGCGACTGCAGCCTTGCTTGAGCCTGCATCTGCACGGTGTCTAAAAGGCTTGGGTATCCCTGGACCGGCGACCAGCTCCTGCAAAGACTGCAGCGACTCTCCGCATGTTCAAGCGTGGAAGTCTGCGGCGGCGGCGCCGGGCTGTGCCTCAGAGCCATGGATAAAAGCACTGCAGAGGTAGATCGGGTCCTGCGATCAAGGGCAGACGGGCCCTGGCCTTTTCCTGCTACCGCAGAGACGAATAGCTCTCATGCAAACAGTCGCTGCAGAAAACGACACTTGCCTTTGGCAGGTCGGACAGCGTGCGGCCTGATTTCTCTCACAGGCACTACTACATTCACATACATTCACGGTCACTACATAGGCTGGGCTTGTGCTTAAAATTCAAAGACTCGCTTGAAAGTGTGGAGAGTCGTCAAAAAGGCATCAGATGGCCACATTGACGACTGCTAGGACTACTTCGTCAAAGAGGTCCGCGGCCGTGCTGGCTCGGCTGGTCTGCAGAAAGGACTCCATGCGATGCAACATGAGATCTTGGAGACGCGTGTTGAAGTCCTCCACATCTTGGATCTTGTTCAGCACAAACTCCTGCAAGAGGACCCGTACCGACAACCAACCCTCTACGTGTTTGCGTTGACGTGTCCTTGTCCGCTGGAAACGAAGCTTCGGCACTTCTCACGTCCAGCTGGACCAGCCTATCCAGGCAAACATCCCGCGAGGACGCCGAGTGGATTTTCACAGCCTGCAGGAAAGGCAGAAAAGCTCGGCAAGCCACTACTTGTACCAAGGACGTGGCGCATTGCCCTAAGAGCGATGTAAACTTACGCCGACTGCTTGCTGAGGCATGTGTAACAATAAGACCTTGCAATGAGAATGTGGAGCAAAAACACCTGGTTCGATCTAGGGGCCTGTTGCAAGTGCAGCTCGTTCGCTTCCACTAGCTCAGCGACACACCATACTCGTGTCAGCAGCGCAAAGTCCGTCTCGAGCGCAATCACTTGTTCCAACCGAACCTTCCCACAGAAGGCTTGAAAGACGCACAACTTCAGGTCCAGTCGACATGGGCGCACTCTGTCCGGGACAACACTTAAAATGAAGGGGTTAGGGGCATGCTGATCTAACACCCGCATGCGGTACCGGCGCTACCTGACCCTGCTCGCGTAGGGATCTCTTGAGGTAGGCCATCATGTCGTCGAACTTGTTCATTTCCTCAGGGACAAACTACAAACAGAAGCAGACTCGGGTACCTGGACATGCCCGGTGATCCAAATTATTCATATTGCAACAAGCGTGCAGCTCAGCATCGCTAAGATCACCGTCGAAATGCTTTGGCGTGGTGCATCTGCACGGGGCTATCGCATGTCCAGTCGAGTCCACAGATGGCGGTGTGGCGCAAATCCCGGCATGTTGGTTCACAGAGAACGCGCAGACCCAGTAGCGGACATCAAGGGCATTTTTCCTGCGCAGGGCGTCACTCAAGCTGTGGAAAGTACGCTTCGCCAGGAGCTTGGCGATCTCATCGTATTTCTCCACGTCCAGGGCATCGGCAACAATAGCTGCAAGGAGGTGGTTGAACTTGGCATAAGCAGAATCGACCATGTACACAAGCTCACAGCCAAGGGCCATGCTCTCTCATAACGCATGCTTCTTTTGTTGCAATGTTCCTGTGTTTTCAGCCACTGGCAGTCTGGAGCCCTTACAGCTTGAAGTCTGTACATCTATATATATATATATATATGTGTGTGTGTGTGTGTATATATATATACAGATACATATATCTCGAGCTGTTGGTTGGGCCGCCGCTACTGGGCGCATATCGGCAACATAACGGCCCAGTCGTTGGTGTTTGGGTCGCGCTGCTGTACTGACGCGCTTCTCGGCGGCTGTGCTTTTGCATTGCATGTTGCACGAATCATCCCGACAGTAATTCACTCAGAGTGCTCCAATAGAGCCATGGCAGCTCGATCCTTTTGGTGGCATGCCCTGCGTGGATGGCGGATGGCTGTTCAATACCCTCCCGAAAGATACACATTTTGCCGGATGCTCAGCCTTTGAGAGATGAATCATAGATACTGAGACGCCAAACCAAATAATCGAAGAAAAGAAGCGAATAAAACAGAAGGTGAGTGCAAGGGTACGAAAAGCTTTGGCGAAGTAAATTCCATCAGTTGCGGACGAGGAGCACTGTTCCGCCAGCTGTGTGTCACCATCTTGTGTGCCAAATGTGGGCGGCCACTGTTCATCACGGCAGCATAAGCATAACCATGACACCTCACTTGCTTCTCTGTCTCTTCTGGACAACCCTAACCTGCACCGCATGCAGAAGCACTAACGCTAACAAACCGGAAAGGACACTGGCCCAACAAACTATACGCTCGGAGCAATGCGGAACGACTGAAGCACTGACTACCGTAGCATGGACAACAGTAAGGCCGGATGCGGAATTTTCTGGCGACGATGGTGTGAGACTGTTCGCAGCGCAGCAGGAGCCGTTGCTGCTGCTGCTGTTGTTGTTGCTGTTGTTGCTCTTGTTGTCGTTGCCGTTGTTGTTCTTCAGGAGGCTAGTTTGTATGTTGTTGGTGGCGTCAGTTCCTCAATGTGTTGGTGTCAGGTGTCAGTGCAGAATCCTGATGTCAAGTCGACGTTGGTGTCAGCCCCTGCAAGTATGTTTGAAGATTTCCATTCTGTCACCAACAGGTGAGACATGATTGGATATGGACCTGTCGCGGATAGAAATGTTACCCACTGGGGCCCACTGGGGCGTCTGTTACGAGACCTCTGTACACCTCCTCTCTGTCTCACCTTGGGAGGCGTCTATCCACCTCTCTCTTGGAAGAGGAGGTCTCTGTCCCCTGCCTCGCCTGTTGGAAGGCTTCTGCCCCTCTGCATCTCACCTGGCCCCTTTCCACTTTTGTCTCACCTGTTCACAGGCCTCTGCCTGCCTCTGTTTCACTGTTGCTGCTGTTGTTGCTGCTGCTGGTGCTGTTACTATTGTGTTGCTGTTGCTCCTGCTGCTGCTGTTGTTGCTGCTGCTGCTGCTGTTGCTGTTGCTGTTGCTGTTGCTGTTGCTGTTGCTGCTGCTGCTGCTGCTGCTGCTGCTGCTGCTGCTGCTGCTGCTGCTGCTGCTGCTGCTGTTGCCCTGCTGTTGCTGTTGCCCTGCTGTTGCTGCTGTTGCCGTTGTTGTTGTTGTTTTGTTGTTGTTGTTGTTGGTGGTGGTGGTGGCGTGCTACCTTTTGATCATTCTTCGTCTTGATCATATAACACCAGAGTGATTCGTGTAATTGTCGTTCTTCTTGTTGGTATGTTTATTGGTATGTTCGTGTTCGTTCTCTTGTTCTTGTTCTTGTTACTGTCCTTGTTATTCTTTGCGAAGCCCTGTTCACGCGCAGTTTGCAAGGTTTTAAGAGCCTTTCGCTTCGGTGTTTGCAAAGTTTTCTGATTTCGGGGTTCGGATTTACCGGTGCACGCAGGGACCAAGGTGGGGTCATACAGGTTAGGTTTTGGGTGAAACAGACTTTCAACATGAGACTGTTGTTTTCACCCTCAGAAACAAATTAAAACGTAAAAGGGGGTTTCAAGGTATGCCCAGGAACATCGACGCAAACTAGGAAAAAAACTGTAGACACCACAAAACGCAAACAAACACATCGACATCATAAAATACCACACCTGCCAGGGTTTTAGAAGATACCACTGCCGATGCCACTCAAGAAACAGCTCCAAAAAAAATTGTCTTGCGTTCGCGCCTGCGATAAGCCGTCTGCGCGGCTGCTGCAGCCGCTTGCAATCAAATAAGAATCACAATCTCCTCAGGTTTTTGACACTTCCCGACAAAGCTGCGCATATTTCCTGTTTTTTGCCAATGTCTCGATTTCTTCTTGTTGTAGCAACGTGCAAAGCGCAACTTCCCCGAGTTTTTGCTATTTCCTGACAAAGCTCCCTCCATGAGCAGAGCGAACAAAACACACCGTCTTGGCATCTTCGTGGCTTCAAAATACTCTTGCCGGCACGTGCAAAACAGTAAGTTTTCAAGTTCTAGCGCGTTTTTACCCAAAATGTGTCATTTCCGCACCCAGAAATATCAACAAACATGTCGTGTTTGTAGTGATTTTTACAGCACACAACGCTTGCCCGTTCTGCCGCGCACGCGTGAACAGGGCGTCGGAGGGTTGTTATTGCTTGTGGTCATCTTCTGATTCTGTCGGCGCGGCTTCCAGGTGCGCCTTGGTTCTGCACTAATCTTCCGCTCTGTCTTAAACGACAAAGCAAAAACCTCTAATCTGAGGCGAAGATGCTCCCTGGAGGCTGCTCCATCTTTTCCCTGGGCGTGTGGATCTTCAGCCAAGACCCCCCTCGAGGCTGACAGCATAAACTTCTTCGCGTGGCGGCTTCCAACTTCGGAGCACTCATCTGTGTCCCATAGATCGAAGCAATCATCTGGGACAGATCCTCAGGATCAGAGCTTTAGGTGGAGGCCCCTTGCGGTTACAAGGCAGGGTGGGCTGGAAACAAGTGAGAATTTCATCAGCCAGGTGAAGCAAGCAATGCGGCGTCGCATACCGTTTCGGAGGAGAAAGGGCAAGCGATGATGACTGTGTGAAGAGTTTTGGAGCCTGTATTGCTTTGTGTCACAGGCTCACGGAAGTGTGGCAAACCTGCAAACTTAACGCCGAGCGTTCGGGTTGCAACTCTGCATGTGAATAGTGTAAACCTAGCAGGGGAACTTGTCATTGGCAAGACGTTACTAAGACTGGCTTGTGGAAGGATATGTGTGGCAAAATCTTGGCGAGCCACTCAGGTACATATACCTACAATCGTTACATACATACAAACGTGCACACATACATGCATTACATACCAGCATGTGTACGTACATACATCCATGTGTGCATACATGCACCCGTGCACACTTACTTACCTAGTTACTTAAATTACTTACTTACTTACTTACTTACTTACTTACTTGCTTACACCTGTGCATTGTTAACAGACATGCACACACTTTCTAGCACGCACACGTGCATGCCTGCACACTTGCATGCACGCATGCTCCCAGCCGGACGCAAACACTTACACCCATAACACGACATGACCAAAGCTAACCTGATCTAACCGAATATTTGCAGTCATACACCCGTACGCCCATACATGCACACATACATACCTATACACACCTACATACCTATACACACCTACATACCTATACACACCTGCATACACATATGTACCCACACACGCAAACAGAAAAGAATCGAACAGAACAGATTAACATAGACCGGAATGTAATTTTTGTGTTGCAAGGCAAGGCAAGAAAACGTACTGTGATTTAATGCTCCTACACTGTTGATTCATTTTCTCCGACCCTGCTGATAGATTTGTCATGCACCAGCGAGCTAGGGCAAACAAAAGAAACACGAGCACGAGGTCTTTTGAAGACACGAGCCTCCACTCTTCTGCTTTCGCAGAGAACGAACAGACAACGATCCAGAGCCGCCGGTGAAGCGAAGGGCCTGTCGAAAGCTGAAACTCATCCGCATCTACTGCAGACGAGTTCTTTCGGTCTTTCGCCAGGGCTGGGGTGGGGGTGATCAGTTCTCTTTCCTTCGCCAGGGCTATGGTGGAGGGTTGTGGCCCTCCACCAGTTCTCTCTCTTTCTTTCTGCCGGGCTTAGGGGTCACTGCTGTGACCCTCGGGCTTTCAGCCCGCCCGTCCACCCCCTGTGTTATTGAGTGGACGGCTTTGGAGTCCCACTGACCGTGGCACTAGCTACCGAGTAGGTTCCGACTTTCTGAGCTGCAATCCCCCACCCTTTACACCAGTACACCCCCAACCCTCTCTCTCGCTCTGCCCTTGTATCCAGAGGGTCTATCAGCGCCGGGCGAGTTGTGGGCTGTACTTCACTTTCGTACTGTTGGATTTTCAGGGGGCAAACCGTCGCCACGCTGCAGTGGCCACGCTATGGTGCTCCCCTTCGCTGAGTGTCGGGGAGCATCTTACTAGGAAAATGTCTGAAACGGAAGGGCTACTGCGCGCCTGCAGTCCCGGAGTTTTCAAGTACATAAACCGTACTTAGCCCGAGGCATCAATCCGGCTTCTCACACACGGCCGACCTTCTCTGGCGGCCGCCATGCTGCCTGGGCTTCATCGGACGTCTCGTAGGCTTTGATGGAGACCTTTGGTGCTCTTGGCCAGGCACACCATGTCAATGCAAAGGATGATGGCAGAGGATCAACTTAGTGATTCTCCCCGACTCCGGCTGTGTTATCATGCCTGACTCTTCAAGAACCCTTTGTATTGTGCCATTTGTTGCTGTTGCTGCTGCCGCTGCTGCCGCTGCTGCTGTTGCTGCTGCTGCTGCTGCCTGGTGGTTACCGCTGCTGTTGCTACTACGACTGTCCACTTGCTCTGCTACCGGTACTACGGGCAGCTGCGCGAGAAAGAGTGTAATTTTTGCTGTTGCCGTTGTGGTTGGTTTGGTCCGTCATCCTCGAAATCTTAGCAGTATTGCCAGCATAACTGAAGTTTGTTTCAGGAAGCACTACTACTAGTTCACCACTACTGTGACACTTGCGTGCCTTTGCATTTACTTTAAATACCACATACGACCGAGCGGCAGTCATTGCTGCTACTGATGCAGCTCACTGCTAGACGAACATCAACGAGCCATGCGGCCATGCAATCGTCTGCCGTGAACGTGTATGAATCCGTATGAGTGTACTGGCTTTCCTGCAGATCAACACGCACGCCTATGTACAGGTACACACGTATATGTACATGACTACATGTACACAATGTTCCACACCATCTTATAGTGCGGCTCCCAGTGCTGATGTTGATCAGGCCAGTCACTACCGATGGAATGCGAGATTTGCTGAGAAGACATCTGAGTAAGATTTCTGTGGAAGATGCAACCTAGCTCCTCTGCTATGCCGTTTGCTCGGTGAGTAACGGCAAGCTGATGCCAAGCTAAGGTGCATAGAGCTTGCCTCCTTCCCGGCTGTCCCTGACGTCGAAGACTCCACGCAGGCCTTGCCAGCAGTTGCACACCTCACAAACGGGTACAAAAAGTTGCGGCCGCAAGCTCCCCAAATGCAAAATCAGGACATATCTGAACCATTGAACTAAGCCGTGGTCTGGCAGCGAAACATTGCCAAGCGGATCATCCTTCGAGGCAAAGTCGTGGTCCCAGAGGCTGAAGTACAACACCTCTTCATGCAGAACGTCCTCCAGGGCCGCCTAAAGCTGAGAAGCCGTGAACCACCCAAGTTCATCCAAAGACAAAAAGACCAGAAACGTCCAGACAGCAACAGCATGTTGATACTGCCGTTTAACATCGGAGAGCCGAATCCGGCCCTGTGAGTTCCTGCAGCCTGGGCGAAAGTTGCAAGTCAACTTCGGAAGAAAACGACAAGCACAGTCACACTGGTCCTCTATGAGGAACGACTCCTCCCAAACTGGATTCTGGTCGTTCGACACATAAGGCGTCCTTCCACCGCCTTTCCAAGGCTTCAAGACGCCACCCGAACCCTGCACCGACACCACGCAGTACGGGTCGGAGCCCGAGAACAAGTCCACCGAAGAGAGTCCCGTCGCCCGATGAACCACTACGACGAGGTAGCGAGAATCCCTGAGCTGCAGCGACCGCGGTATGATTGCTTGGCGAACCACCTTGGCAAGGCAGGAGAGATGCGCGTCCGCTTGGCTTGAGCTGCTCAGTCTGTGAAACCCACAGACTTCTCACTTCTACATGTGACTGCCCGAGCAAGGGGCATCATGCGTCGTGGACTTCTTGGGATCAAAGTGCTTCATGGCGTCGTGCCCAAGATCCACATAGAAGTCGAGCAGCTGCCGTATGGTGATTCCCCGACCCGCCAGCTCTTTCACTTTATCAAGCCACACCTGCTTGTCGCTTTCAGCTGTCTGCACAGTTTCCTCGCCATCAAGCTGCTGCAGATCCAACCCTAGCTTCCTGGGCGGCAGAATCCTCTCTTGGCCCCAGCCGGAAAGCTCTGTACCGAGGCTTGAAAACAAGCACGCCAGCAGCGGCACCAAGACAAACTTACGGAGCAGCACCACGAAAAAGGTGAACATCCACTTTCCTTCGTCGACCTGCACGCTGCAAAAGCTCGCAGCCTAGACCCCTTGTTTGATTTCGGCAGGTTAGGCTCTTTAGCTTTGTGCAGCACATTGCAGCACGGTAAACCTCAAAACCCCTGTGCCAGCCTCGGCCATGTTGGCCAGGAAGGCAGAAACAACCACGAGATGCAGCCCGGAAAAACAGAAGCTAAAAGCCCAGAAGCCAGCATCTTTCAAACGTCTAACACGAAGTTGCCAGCGTCGGTTCAGCCGGCTTTCTTGCACGAAGCCGCGCCGCGCCAAGTAGATTTCCAGGCGGCGGGGCAAAAAATTCAATAGAACGGAGAACATAGCGACGAAGGTGTACCAGAGGAAGCTTCCCTGATCGATGGGACACTCCGCAGGGCTCCTGGCCGCCACAGCCGTCCCGTCAACGGAGAAAAACAGGGCGACGAAGGCCTCTCAGCCCACTGCAAATCCTATCAGACCCCTCATGTTTGCATGATCAAAAAAAGGCAGAAACCGAGGCCAGAGCTAGGGATCCAAGGAGGCAGTCCATCATGATCTTGGCCCGCTTTGCTGCCGTCATGTGCAGATCACACATCCAGAGCTCATAGACGGGATGGGATGCGACCATCGCTGCCCAGAGTCGCTGTGCACGAGATGTGTGGACGTCCACAAAAGCACGTGGCAAAGTCTCTTCCAAGGCATAGGCCAAGAGCTTGAGCTGTGGGGACCTTTGTACAGCAAGGCTGCCTTGCACCCAGCCGCTTCGACCCCAAATGTGGGTCTGGATAGAGCTTGTGTGGATGTTATGTTGACGGGCCACCTCCCACAATGTGTTGCGACAGATCACGCGCTCCTGCATGCCTGCAGCCAAGTTCGGCTTAAGTCGTTGAAGTAGATCGTGCCTTAATTGCATGGATTCAGGATCCGCAATGCCGGCTCGGAACCAGGACAGTTGCGACATGATGGAGGGAAGGCTGCTCTGTGAAGGCCGGCGTCCTCTGGCACCCGGTGCAGGGCTATCCTCTGCCTCCTCTGCCTCCTTTTCCTTCTCCGACTCTTCCTCGTGGCTGGCGTCTGTGTCCGAGGTCTGCGGCGCTTTTTGGGATGCAAACCAGGCTGTCCCACCGAAGCACCCGGTGCATGGCAGACTCCGCGACACTGGGGGCAGGTCCGTGAGGAAGTACTCGTCGCGCCAGAAGCCCGAGCGGTGCAGCCGGGCGTCGCTGAGCCGGCCCAGGGCGACGAGCAGCAGCGAGGAGGCCAGCAGCAGCCAGAGGCCGAGAGCCGGCGGCCGCATCCACCAGCCCTGTCGCTCCACGATCTCCCGGAGGCCCTCCTGGGACAGCATGTTGGCGTTCCTGGGCGCTTGCATGCACTACATGGCGACGTGCGGCGATGTGCGGCGACCTGCGTCCTTGCCGCCGAGGCGCGTGCAGTCCAGGAGGATGTCGACGAAGGCGCCGAAGATGGACAGGTGCAGCGTTGCGCACCAGACGCCGGAGGTGTCCGCCTGACCTCCGAAGGCCGTCTCGAGCTCCGCTGACGTCGCCAAACGGACGCCCTCCGTGGACCAGGTGTCGCCGTCCAGGTAGGCCTCGACATTTTGAGCCAACTTCGGGACTTAAGCTAGCAGCAACAAGACTCGAAAAGCTGAATGCGGCTCGGGCCACGCAGATCCAGTTGGGCTCGGGCGCCACCTCTGCGATGCGCACGAAGATCGGCGTCCTGACCTGCACCTCCTGGGCGCTGAAGCTGTCCTTGTCCACGATGGAGATGTCCACCGCCGGGGTGGCCGCTTCGATCGGCCGGCTGGCCCTGGTCTGCGCCTTCTGCCCCGGCGAGCCCAGCTCCGAAGCTTCCGGGCCGTCGAAGGTGGTCAGCACCAGCACCGCGTTCTCCCCCAAGTCGCCCAAGGCCTGCACAGGCTTTCTGCGATGAGTCTTCTTGCCCGCATGCACAAACTGAAGACTGTGTTAAGATGTGTTAAGTACCTGCGGCTCCTCTCCTGAGATTGGAACTTTTCAGGCATGGCTTAGGCACTGAATCCCGAAGGGGGATGACGGGTTTTTAATCATTTTGCATTCAATGCCGCTGGAACGCTCTGTAACCAAATCTTGGCTTTATTGTGCATCGATGGAAGGCGACAGATCTCGCAACACGAGACTGCAGTCTCGCACATCAGGATCAAGTTTATGGGTTGTTCATCAAATCCACACTCAGAGAGACGCAGACGCGGGCTTCCCTCGATTGCGAGTCGGAGCAGCTTCTGCGCGTGGAGTTGCGATCTCGATCATCTGGCTGGAATGTGCCTACTTCTCGAGGAGACGCTTTTCTCGGTGGTTCAAGTCTAGCGGCACGTTCGATTCTGAAGAACCTATTCGACCTATTCGATCAGACTTTTGGATGTACATGGGCGTAACGGATGTTTGCAAGCTCTTGCAATGCAACTGCACCCCACCCTCCATAGCCAACAGCCATGCATGCGCACATGTTGTAGCAAGACATGCGCAAAAAAGGAGGTCATTCATCTTCCCACTAGCAGCCACGCAAAGACCTCCAACGGTAGCACAACAGCTGCTGCACTGCCATCAACCACGGCGGCCACGAAGCTCGAATTGGCAGGGGCGCCCCTCAACCTCTTCAGTTCATTGAATGATTGCTGGTCGGCTAGCAAGAACCACATACCGAATGCTGAGTCGGTAGCTCGACGGCAGCCATAGTGCCGAGACCTGTTGTCGCGGATGCAGTCGAATTCTCCGTGTTAGTCAGCTGACCTCGGCAGCGGATCGACGACCAAAAGAACCGAAGTCCAAATTCTGCTACATGTGCCAGGCAACTGAGGAGGAAGTTGGTGTTGCGTTGCAGCTCGTTCGTGAGAGCAGCAGCTATGTTGCCCGCCGTCAATGTGCTGGTAGACCGCGAAGTAGACCATGTAGTACTGCTGAGGCTTGAGCTGGAACTGCTGGTTGAATGTGTGCTGGTCATGCTCCTCGTGCTTGAGCGGGTCGTCGAACTTGTTCGGGATATTGTAGAAGTGCTGCTGGATGTGTGCGACGTTGTTGCCGTCTGACTTGATTTTGAGGTTGAGCTTGAACTGGTTGTTGAGCTGCTTGTTGTGGATGTTACCGTGAGTGTGGTTGATCTGCTGCTTGTTGTGGACGTTAGTGTCAGTGTGCTTGATCTGCTTGTTGTGGATGTGATAGTAAGTGTGGTGTATGATGTTGAGCTTGTAGTGATGGTGTATGACTTCGAACTCGTGGTGGTGCTACTTCGCGTACTGCTGCTCGTGCTGGTGTGCGTGGCTGTGCTTGTTGTGGTGCTTGCACTGCTACTGCTGCTGCTACTGCTGCTGCTGCTACTGCTGCTGCTACTGCTGCTGCTGCTACTGCTGCTCGTCGCGGTGCTTGTGCTGCTAATGGTGCCGGTGCTGGTGCTTGAGCTTGTACTGGTGCTCGAGCTCGAGCTTGTGCTGGAGGTAACAGTATCTGTTAAACTATACGTAGAGGTCGTGCTCGTGGAATCTACCGCCACGCTGAAGGCTTCATCAAATGCCACCATGGCCACTCTCTCCGAGCTCCCGTGGTTCCTCAAAGATCCATCGTTGCAAGACTCCCTTGTCAACTGGAGCGTGAGGTTCTGCACCTCCCAGGACACCGGTCCAGGGGATTCCGAGATGAGCTCAAAGGTGTCAAGTGCGTCCCATCGTATGGTGCCGACGTAGGACACGTCAGGACTTCCAGCAAGACTCACTTGCACGGATTGCCACTGGCCCACAGTTGGGGAGTACTGGGCATTCATGCTGGCTACCATCCAAGCTGAATCAAGGGTAGAGGATCCAAAACGCAGGGCATGTAGGCAGTTCGTCGCAGCATTGCAAAGCAGGTCGAAATGTAGAACCGTATCATCCCTAAAGATCTGGAGGTCGGGATCCACAAAGTTCGTGGCATTGACTGCTGCCACATTGAACCACCCGACACTCCCATTGCTTTCTGCAAAGCTTGCACTCCACGGCCCCGCGGAGAGCCCGAGGCTCACCGTAAAGACGGGTATGTCCTCGGTTAATCAATCGAGCTCAGTCAGTCTTCCAGTGCACCCCAAAGAACTGGCAATTCTTTAAATCTGTTCCTATTCATAAACGTGAAGCATTTTCGAACTTGTTTTCGTCGATTCTGAGCTTTGCAGCAATGCTGGTCGTTTCATCGCGTTTTTGCCGCATCCAGCCGCCATCGCCGCCGTTCCTCGTGATCACGCTCGCCACCACCAGTGGGGTGCTACTGGACAGAGTGTGCCCGAAGGCCACGAGTTGACCTCCTTGACCCCAGCCCAGATCTGCTATAGGGTCCGACACCACGACGGCATAGGAGATCGTTCGGTCTGCTGTCGAAGGCGCCTCAACTACGTTTGGGCAAGGCTCGCTGGTAGATGCATCAAGTAACATCCACCTCTGGTATGGCTGGTAATAATCATCGTCATCACTGCTCCCTGTCACGATTAGCGGCCACAACCGCAGGGTGCCATCGTCAGTCAGCTTTCGCCCCGACTGGGTGAAAAGAAAAACCTGGCCACCATCTGCCTGGACGATCTCCCACTCTTGTCCCGAGTCACTGGGGGCTTCCAAGGCCAAGCCAAAGGAATCCGTCTCCGTCAGTCGCACGGACCGATGGCTTGTGAAGACAACCCTGCTGTTGGACAGGGTGGTCGTCCACCGACTAGAACCCCCGGTAGCCGCAGCCAGTTGAAGCGCGCCATTGTTGTCTTGCATGTATTCGCCGCTCCAGCTCCGGATCAGCACCTCTTGCCCAGCTTGGCAGGCTCGCACTGCCGGGACCGTGATCTCCGTGGTGGACGCCGCAGAGTCAAAAGCGATGTAGCCAAGCCGCTCCGGAACATTGATCTGACCACCGTCAAAGGCCACCACAGAATCCAGAGCCAGGCTTGCCTGGGACGATGTCACGGAAGAGACGCCAACCACCAGCCATGGTACAGCAGGTTGACCCGACACTTCATTGTTTGCTGTCTGGACCTCGGTCAAGAGAGCCGGAGGAGCCGAAAATGAATGAGCAAAGTCGACGGTCTCCCAGCCCGTGTTGGGGAAGTCCAGAGGTCTACACTGGGCAGCCTGCCGCTGCATGGTTTCCACGAAGCCTGCCTCGAAAATCCGACCGTCCGGCAACCTGTGGACCCCAAGAGAAGCTGCGATGAGACTCGCATACATGGGACTGTGTCTTGGGTCATCCGACTCCCAAGGCTCCGTGAGGCAAACCTCGAAGGAGGCATTCGTGACAGCCCTTATGCGAATCTTGGCCGGATAGCCTCCCTGGGTTGTAGTCATTGCAACTACCACAGGAGCTTCATCGAAGGCCTCCGCAAAGCGCATTGTCTGCCAACATGCATCCGTGCTCCCAGACACCCAAAGTCTGAATACCTCCAACCTTCCAGCACCACAGACTAAGTGAGCTGCTTGGAGAAGCAGTACAACCACAGCCACAGCTATACATGGAGGTGACCTGGCCATGGCGAAGCATGGCTTGCACCACTAAGGTTTGTAGGATACAAAAGCATCACGCCTTCTTGGGTCTAGAAAGGTCGCACATTTCTTCATGCCCAGCCAATCTCTTTCAGGAATGCACGCGTCTGGCGAGTGGTTTCTTAACTTCTGTGAAGAGCGCTGCACAAGAGAACGAATCAGGCAAGGATGCGAGAAAGTAAAATCGTCCGCACATGCAGGTGTCAGCAGGAGCTTCGCCCTGATAGCAGGCAGCATCTGATCAATGGCAACACCTGGCGTGCGACAGCAACTTTTATGTTGACAGTGATTAGTCCGCACCGGCACTCGGGCTTACCCGTGGTACCTGACTAACAAAGTCTGTTCTGCGCTTGCCCGGTAGGTTCAGCACCGGCTTCAAGCATCAATAAGCAAAGCAGCATTCGAGCCAAATAAAGTTGCAGGGCTACACGCGCTGCGTCGACACGCGCTGCATCTGGTGCACGCCGGGAACACCCCGACAATTGAGCTCCGAATGCCTGAAGTTCACATAGTGACTGCCATCCGCTATTCTATGGCCTGTGGGTGTTCGCCGTTGGCCCGCTTGCCGCAAATTGCACGACTGCTTCTTTGAAGAGTCATGGTTAAGCGAAGATCTGATCTCCGTTGCGGCACTAGGATCACACGGAGCCATGCATGTTTGTACATTCACAACTTTGTACAAGCGTCAGGCCAAGAAGTACTCAGTATCAAATAACCACATTGATCACCGCAAGCACAACCTCGTCGAGAAGGCTCGCGCATGTTCTCGCCTGTCCAACATTCAGAAAGCTCTCGAGGCGGCGTAGCATAAGATTCCGAAGGCTGCGGTTGAATAGCTCAACGTCCGTAATCTTGCTCAACACCAGGTCCTGCCGTTCAGAGGCATTCCTACAACGATACGATCCCACCACACACTACAGTCAACCTACCTGAATCTACCTGCCCTATACTGTCCTTGTCCGACGCATATGAAGCCTCTGCATCTCGGACATCCAAGTCGAACAGTCGTTGCAAACACTGGTCCCGCGAAGCATCCGAGTGAATCTTGACGGCCTGAAGCAGCCCGTGCCATTTGTAGTTTTGTGTCTAGCTGGGCCCTGGACTTGCCTTTACAAAGGCATGATCGGCTGCTTGAAATCCGTCATCGCCGGTGACTACTACAAGATGCCGAAGCGCGTTATGGGAAGTTGAAAGGTGTCGGAAAACCCTGCTAAATAACCGCGGGGACCATTCTAAACTGTACACTGGCCATTGAATGCCCATGACGGTCTGAAGGGTTCTTGCGCGACACCGACTGCTGGATTGGACGCGAACGCGCAATGATGGAGGCCCTACGTCACGATACGCCATGGTCTGTACTTCGGACAACTTCCTACAATGACAATACCCCCGATTGTTACGGAAATCTGGATATCCGCCTGCACCAGGTGCAGCTCATATGCCTCTGAAAGCTCCGCCACGCACCATACCTGGGTTGTACAAGTAGCATGGGGACCTCACAAGTGTGAGAAGCCGTTAGCTGCAACAGCCCGAGCAGCATCACATGACCCCGCTTGGACAGGAAACCCCAAAGGAATCCCCAAGACAAAAGTATACAGAATCCCAATTTGCCTTTCAGCGATACCCGAGTAAGCAGGCCAAAATCCTTCTCCAAGGCGACCACTTGCTCGAGCCGCTCCTGGCTCTCGGGGCAGGGCTGCGTCTCGTGGCCCTACTCGCTGGCAAAGGGTTGGGGTTGATCTGGTTCGAGGATCAAGGCTTCTCCTTGATAAACCCCAAGCCCTCTGCTGTACGGTCTTGCAGAAATCGCCCTAGCATCGCCTGTCCGTTCTGCTTGTGGCATTGCTTCAAGTACGCCATCATGTCGTCAAACTTATTCATTTCCTGGGCTGCGCAGGGCGACAGATACCCTGAACTGCTGGCGTTTTCTGGCACTGCGGGCCCACAAATGCCGCACAGCTTCGCTCAGGTCGCCGGTGAAGTGCTTCTGCGTCCGGCATCCGCATGGGGCTATCGCTTGCCCGGTTGAGTCTGTAGGAGGAGGGGTTGCGCAAATTCCGGTGTGCTGGTTCACACTGAAAGCACAGACCCAGTAGGCTGTGTCAAGCTTCCTTGCACGATGCAGAGCATCCACTAGAACGCCGAACTGGCGAGTCTTCAGGAGCTCCGCAACTTCGTCGTACTTCGCCTTGTTCAGGGCATCGGCGAAGATCGCAGCAAGCAGGTAGCAGGCCTGGGCTTCATTGAGACAAGCATCACCAATACAGAGTCAGAGGAAGAGAGGAGGTTGCTTCCGAAACACTGCAGACAGGACACGCGGTTCCGCCAGCTGTGCGTGACCATCTTATGGGGCAGGCATGGCTGACCGTTGTTGACCGTAGTAGCGTAGGAGTACCCGAAGATCCCATCACTCGTGTCGTTCGAGGTCTCGATGCTCGCCGTTCGTGAGCACATCGAAACCCGAAACAGGTCCCCAGAATTCCTGCAAGAGCGAATCTCCACCTCCTCGGCGAGGTCGCTAAAGCCCGAGTGGCAAGAGTCTCGGAACAGGGAGAAAGGAATCATGCCAGCTACCCCTCACACGGCTTCTGCAAGTGCAGAGGCGGCTGCCGGCACGGATCATGAACCATCACGATGCGAAACCATGCGAAACCCCTACTGCCATCCTTGGGTGCCTACGAGACGTGAATAAGCTCCGAAGTATCGCTACAGGAAGGACAAACGGCTGGACCACGACGACTTGAAAAGGTTTCCCACTCCAGCCTCGTAAGAGCGAGGTGCGCGAATCACGCTCTCTTGCGATGCACGCCTGCATGACCTGTAGCTGAGCAAGCGTAGGCAGTGATTACTCCGAAACGCGGCTTGCCGCAAGACCTGAAGGTGCGGGCCACAAGTCCCTGAACTGCCACCTCCCAGCGCAGGGCCTCGTGCTGGAGCTGCATGGCTGCATGTGCCCCGTCTGCGGTGGCGTGCGCCGAGATGGAGACCTGCAAGGGCATTGACACAGTAGCAGGGTGACAGCCCTGGCGCTCAGGAGCCTTCAGCCACGGGATGTCACTGTCGAGCGGAAGCATGCCATCAAAGCCATGCCAGATGTCTGTAGCACGAAGAGCGATGCTGTTCAAGGCTGCCGATGATTGCGTTCGGTCATAGAGGTGAACGATCAAATTATCTTCGATAAGCATATCCTGCACAAGCAAAGGTTCCTCCCAGTTTTGCTGAAAAGACCCACCGCGCTTCGCGGCTTCTGGCTGACTTTCATCTGAAAGCTCGGACGGCGAAGAAACTGATACCACACAGTAAGGCTCGGAGTTGGTGAAGAGGTCGAGCGCAGCCCGGCGCGTGTCCTCCTTGACAACTACAACAAAACACCGTGGTTCTTTCATCTGCAAGGAGTTGGGGATGATCGCTTGCCGCACAATGTCGTGTGTGGTCGATTCGTTGGGGTCGAAGTGTTGCATCACTTCTTGCCCCAGCGCCATGTAGAATTCGAGAAGTGCACGCACGGTTATGCCGCGACCGGCCAACTCCTGCACTTTCTCTGTCCAAACTTGGTTGCTAGACGCAGGCAAGACATCTGCTGCACCGGTGGGGCCATCGCTCGTGAAGCCTGTATCAAGCCTGAACTTTCTCGGTGGCACCAGCTGCGAAGCGGAACATAGACCATTGGCGCAAGTCGTGCCGAGGCCCGACAGCAAGCTGGCCAAAAGAGGGACGACAACTAGCTTGCGGAGGAGTACCACACCGAAGGTAAACATCCACTTGTTTTCATCTCCTTCCGACAAATTGGCAAGGAAAGCCAGGATGACCAGGAGATGAAGCAGCGAGAAGGCCAAACTAAGCACCCAAAAACTCGCATCCTTGAAACTCCGTCTCCACAACTGCCAGCGCCGATAGGCGCGACTCTCTTGCACAAAGCTGCGCTGAGCCAAGGAAACCTCCAGACTGCGCGGCACAAGGTTCAATAGAACGGAGAACATAGCGACGAAGGTGTACCAGAGGAAGCTTCCCTGATCGATGGGACACTCCGCAGGGCTCCTGGCCGCCACGGCCGTCCCGTCAACGGAGAAAAACAGGGCGACGAAGGCCTAGATCCACGTCACGTTTGGAGCCGGAGGCGGCTAGGACTAGGAGGACTAGGAGGACTAGGAGGACTAGGAGGACTAGGAGGACTAGTGGTTAAGTTGTGAAACTGGGGCCACGGCCAGGGATCCAAGGAGGCAGTCCATGATGATTTTAGCCCGCTTGACGGCTGTCATGTGCAGATCGCACATGGAAAGCTCGTACACAGGGTGCGATGAAAGGAGCGCCGTCCAAAACGGGCGAAGCCGAGATGCATGCACACTGAGGAAAGCGCGTGGCAAACCCTCGTCCAGTGTAATAGCGAGCTCCTTCAGCTGCGGGGACTTCTCCAAAGCCATGCTGCCCTGGATCCATCCATCATGGCCCCAGATGTGCTTCTCGATAGAGCTGCTGAGAAGTTTGCAGCTTAGAGAAGCTTCCCAGAGTGTGTTCTGGGAAAGGACCCTCTCTCGAAACTTCCCGGCGAATGTCGCCTTGCTACCCTTGAGCATTTGACGATAAGATGCCGCTGCCGTAGCACCGCTGGCCGCTTTGGGGCTTGGAGTGTTCGAACGGTGCATTTTGCTGCGCATTCGTCGAGTTGGCAGGTCCGTGAGGAAGTAGTCGTCGCGCCAGAAGCCCGAGCGGTGCACCCGGGCGTCGCTGAGCCGGCCCAGGGCGACGAGCAGCAGCGAGGAGGCCAGCAGCAGCCAGAGGCCGAGAGCCGGCGGCCGCATCCACCAGCCCCGTCGCTCCACGATCTCCCGGAGGCCCTCCTGGGACAGCATGTTGGCGTTCCTGGGCGCTTGCATGTACTACATGGCGACGTGCGGCGATGTGCGGCGACCTGCGTCCTTGCCGCCGAGGCGCGTGCAGTCCAGGAGGATGTCGACGAAGGCGCCGAAGATGGACAGGTGCAGCGTTGCGCACCAGACGCCGGAGGTGTCCGCCTGACCTCCGAAGGCCGTCTCGAGCTCCGCTGACGTCGCCAAACGGACGCCCTCCGTGGACCAGGTGTCGCCGTCCAGGTAGGCCTCGACATTTTGAGCCAACTTCGGGACTTAAGCTAGCAGCAACAAGACTCGAAAAGCTGAATGCGGCTCGGGCCACGCAGATCCAGTTGGGCTCGGGCGCCACCTCTGCGATGCGCACGAAGATCGGCGTCCTGACCTGCACCTCCTGGGCGCTGAAGCTGTCCTTGTCCACGATGGAGATGTCCACCGCCGGGGTGGCCGCTTCGATTGGCCGGCTGGCCATGGTCTGCGCCTTCTGCCCCGGCGAGCCCAGCTCCGCAGCTTCCGGGCCGTCGAAGGTGGTCAGCACCAGCACCGCCTTCTCCCCCAAGTCGCCCAAGGCCTGCAAAAAAAAAAAAAAGCACATCCCGGAGCCTCCCAAAGCTGCAAAAATCGCTCCGGCCTCTAAGACCTCGCTTGAGAGCACCACTGCTGCTGGACTGTCATCGACGATGGCCGCCACAGGGCTTGTGGAGGAACCGCTGGACAACCTTTCCCCGAACTTTTCCCGTCTTAGGCTCACAAGGTCTGAACGCTAGTCTTCCATTTGCTCCTTGAAAGACTTTTAGGCCCCAGCTGTACAGCAACGATCGTTCCGAGGCTGGACGTAATGTTGGCCGTCGCCCCCGGCGAGTCTGGCAAATCGCCTCAGGTAACTCGTGATGTCACGACTACGCTGACTTGTTCGTGACTCGAGCCCTATAAGCATGAGAAAGATCTTCGCCAGATGAGCAGAGGTTGAGGCGGTGACGCAGTAGAGAGCTGGTGCTCTCCCTGAGCTCGTCAATAATGGCCTCCTCTCGTGTAGCCGCAACTGCACTGGTGCTCGAAGTTGTGCCCGTCGTGCCCGTGGTGATCCTTGTGCCCGTCGTTGTCGTGCTGGTACGAGTCTGGGTACTGCTACCTGTTGCACTGCTAGTCCCGGTGCTTGTGGTGGTGCTTGACCGGGAGGTGCTCGAAGTTGTATCTGTGCTAGTACTCGTCGCGATGCTTGAACGAGTCCTGGTACTGCTGGTGGTGCTTGTGGTGGAAGTGATCGACGTTGTGTCCGTGAGCGTGCTCGTTGCGGTGCTCGAACGAGTTTTCGTACTGCTACCGGTGGTAGTACTCGTTTCTGTGTTGGTGGCGGTGCTTGAGGTTGTGTCTGTGAATGTGCTCGCCGTCGTGCTCGAAACAGTCCCGGTGCTGCTGGTGGTGCTCAGTGTGGAGGTGCCAGATGTTGTGTCTGTGAATGTGCTCGCCGTCGTGCTCGAAACAGTCCCGGTACTGCTGGTGGTGCTCAGTGTGGAGGTGCCAGATGTTGTGTCTGTGAATGTGCTCGTCGCCGTGCTCGAAACAGTCCCGGTACTGCTGGTGGTGCTCAGTGTGGAGGTGCTAGACGTTGTGCCTGTGGATGTGCCAGACGTCGAGCTCGAAACAGTCCTGGAACTGCTGGTGGTGCTTGAGGTGGAGCTGCTAGACGTTGTGTCTGTGAATGTGCTCGTCGTCGTGCTTGAACGAGTCCTAGTACTGCTACTGGTGGTACTTCTTGAGCTCGAGGTGGTCGAAGCTGTCATTGTGCTTGTGCTTGACGTGCTGGAGCTTCCGGTCGTTGTTGTCGTCGTCCCGGCACCCTCCACGACCTCCACACTGAATGATTCCGCAAAGGCTGCCAGGCTGATCTCCTCTGCAATGGGGTGCTCCGTCCCGGCCGCACAAGATGGGCGTTGTAGCCGGAATGACAGGCTCTGAACTTGCCAGTCCACGCTGCCTGAGGATTCCGAGATGAGCTCCACGACTTCGAGAGCATCCCAGGGAACGCTACCAACACACGAAACCTTGGGGTTCTCAGTCAGGGCAATTTGAACGGTCTGTGACTGGCCAACTGTCAGGGTGTAGTGACTGTTGATCTCGGCCACCGTACAGGCCGCATCCAGGTTGGAGGATCCAAAGCGCACGGCTCCAAGGCAGTTCGTCGCCTCGTTGCAGACAAGGTCAAACTCCAGCAAAACGTCGTCCAACAAGACCTCGAGACTCGGGTCTACGAAGTCGCTTGCATTCGCTGCGATCCCGAACCAACCCACGCTGCCGTTGCTCTCTGCAGAGCTTGCGGCAAGGGGTCCAGAGGCCAAGACCAGAGAGATGTTCACCGCGGAGACCTGTCAAAGTTAGCGGGGCTTCTAGGACGAGCGGATACGAGCCAAAGAAGGGCGTGCAAGCCAGGCCAGCAGAGCTGCAGGTCACCCAACCGACTATCTAAGGCTCTCCGCTTCTCTCTAGCCGGGCGGCAGCGTCTTTAGGCTCATCAACGAAGAGATCCGCGAAAAAGCTGCTGTTTGCAGAGTTCCCGAAGCGAAGCCAGCCGCCGTCCTCCCCGTTCTTGGTCGTAAGGCTCGCGATCACAAGAGGCGAAGCAAGCGAAGCCGAGGACAGGTCTGTTCCGAAGGCGATCTCATTTCGAGACTCGGTTTGGCCTAGTGGTGATATTGGGCCCGACTGCACGATGGTGTAGGGAATCCCCTGACCAATACTGTGGCACGGCTGGCGGGAACCCACGTTCATCAGAGTCCACATCTCACTCGGTCCGGCACTCTCCGACAATTCTACTGCGCCACTGTTATCTGGATCTGAGAGCCTCTTCCCTGTGCTGCTGACCAGGAAGACTTGAGTGTCGCTCGCAACGACAATCTCCCACTCCTGATCCGGGCCGCTTAAGTCTGGGGTGAAGGTGACGCCCCCCGAAGACTCCGTCAGATAGTCGCCGGTGTGGGTCTGAAGGACGACGCGGCCATTCACCAAAGACGCCCAGAAGATCTGCCATTCACCCGGGTCGTAGGGGTATGTCAACTTTGGCGCATCACCATAGTCGTCGCCAAGGTAGGCAAAGCGCCAACTCGGGAGTGTGCGTCTGTATGTATCGGTGTAAATATGAGCATATAGACTCTATAGACTCCTTTTTAGTAAATACACACACACACACACTGTTGCTAGCTTATCTGTGTGGCTATCGGCTCGCACTGGTGCTACTGGATTCATTTGCTTGTCCGTTTTACGTGCATGCGTTTGCATCTGCCTGCATAGCCTCGGTTTTTTTTTGCTTCCGTTTGGGCCAGGCCTCCGGATCAGAAGCTCCGGATCCGTGCAAACCGCCTCAAGGGTCTCCGGCACCACGCCGTGGCAGTCACGTGCAACATGTCCTGGGTTGAGATGAGAGGGACCTCTCAAAACATTGTTTGCCCAAGAGAACATAAAAAACCCAAAAGCGTTTAGAACTACGACGAAACAGCGACGAACATCATCGCATCCATGCATACATGCATCCATCCATTCATCCATCCATCCATCCCTCCACCTCAATCCATCCGTTACATCCTGGTTACATCCATTCATTCATCCACCTTTCACCCATCACATCTATTCATCCATCATTCCTCCACCCAACCACCCGCCTGCCCGCCCGCCCGCCCACCCAGCAAGCCAGTCATCCATCCTCTGCCCACCCAACCTTGTAGAAACCCCTCTAAAATACCCTTCTGTAAACCCTTCTACACACCCTCACATTCGAAGACCATAAGGGAACTTGAAAGAGCATCCCTAAAATTTCAACCTCGCAACTGTAGAAGAACTTCCAGAGCTCGCTGCTGCCGGAATTGTCTGCCAGGCCGAGTGTGCCATGTGCGTCCACCGTGAGGTTCTGTCCCGTACCTGGTACAGCTTTGCAGCTGACTCAATACCTGCAAAAAAATTCAGAGTCAAGACGTGTACCAAGGCAGTCAAGGTGCTGCTGACCAATATACTCCTCTTGTCTTCCCAGCCATTATCTACCGTGACGACCTGCCATTGCTCTGACGGGCCATCCGCCTCGGCCAACTTCAGGCTGCCTCCATCGTTTGAAAGCTTCTTCCCCGTCGTGAAACTGGTGAAGGTGACCAAGCCGTTGGTCTCGTTCAGGATCCACATTTGCTGAGTACCTCGGTGATCGCCGGAAGACATCTGCGGGGACTCTCCTCCTTTGTCCTCCAGTTGAAAATTCCCGTACCAGCTGCGGATAAACACCGACTGAGTGGCTGGACAAGGCGGCCATATAGATGCAGGGCCCACAGCCGAGCATAGCCTTTTGTTGCGATAGTTGTAGAACGTCCACTTCTGGCTCTCCAACGAACCATCCGACAATCTCAGCGTACCGCTGTCATCCATCAGCCTTCTCCCAGAGTCACCAACTAGAAAGTATCGGTCTCCATCTGCGGCTACGATCTCCCACTCTTCAGCTGCAGAAAGCGTATTACTATCTACCGTGCTGAGGCTGCCACCATCGTCTGTTAAGAAACGCCCATGATAGTTTAGAATGGTGAGCTTGCCATTCGATGTGGCCAGCTTCCAGCTCTCCCACAGGCCGTCACTGACGGTTAACTTGGCCTCATTGTTGTCATTGTTGTCAACCTGTATGTTAACGCCTCGCCAGCTGCGGATCACGACGTAATCTGCGGCACAGGATGTCATGCCGAATCGGGCGCTTTTGGGCAACGCCTTGATCTGCGTGGTGGTGGGATGCGTGTCGAAGGCCACGTAGCCGATCCTCTCTGGTACCTGCAGATCCTCTCCTCCTTCAGCTGCCTTGGAAGAGTCCAAGGCCAGCTGTGCTGAAGACGGTGTGACGTTCGACACGGCGACACTCAACCACGGTACGGACGGTTGGCTGGAGGCTTCGTTGTTCGACGTTTGGAGCTGTGTCAGGAGAACCGGTGCGCCTTCGAAGCTGTGCCCGAACTGCAGCTCCTACGGGAGTGGCAGACTCTCCAGCTTTGCCCTAGACTAGATACAGCAAGGCCATCGGTTAAGAGGCGGCTTCAGAGCATGGAAATTTCGAACACAAAGTACTCCACCTGCAACTAGATTAGACAGTGACAGTTCTGCTTCAATTTATGGCGAGCAGAAGGAGCTCCTCCCAGCCGAGCTTGGGAAAGTCCAGGGGCCTACAAGCAGCCGCCTGGCGCTGTATTGTCTCGATGTAGCCGGCTTCAAAGGTCCGTCCGTCCGGCAGGTGATAAGTGCCTGCCGAGACTGCAAGGATGTCAACCTCCATGTCGGCGTGGCTGCCGTCCTCTAGTGGTGGCTCTGCCACAAGGGCTTGAAACGTCTGTTTCGTCACGGACCGGATGCGAACTTGAGCTGGGCCACTGCTACCCCCGCGCGTCATAGCGACCACAATGGGCGTGACATCGAAAGCTGGCGAAAAGACCAGGTCCTGCCAGCCAGCAGTGCCAGAGATGGGTATCCTCCTGACTTCAAAACGTCCAGATGCAAAGCACAGGTGAAATGAGCAGAGCCACTCCAGCAACAATAGCACAAGGATCATGGCACTGCTTCCGTGAAACGTCCTACATGCAACTCCCTTCAAGTGACTGCTGCGAGCCTTTTTCCAAGGTTCTAGCATGCAACCGATTACGGTACAAAGAACACTGCTAGTTTTTTTGACGTGGCATGGAAAACCTTGAAACCACGGAGTGGCCGCGGGAAATCGCCAGAAAAGTAACTGCGATAGTCTTTAGCTATGTGGCCGGACATAAGCTCTGAATCCACATCGTTGGCGGGTCGAAGCTTGCAGGACGGGTGCTTCGGCTGGGGCTTCTAAGCCTGGGCACAACTATCAAAGCTCCTGGTTAAGCCTGGGTTCAGGTTGAGGAGCTTCCCAAGGCCCAAGACGCGACCCACTGCCAATCCAGGCTTTGAGCCAAGAGCAGGAAGTGTAGCAAGCGTATGAAGATATAATGACGGATGGATGCAGTCTGTGGGTGATGAGACATGGGGTTTCCCATGTGATGACACTGCACTCGGAAGCATCGTCTGCATGGAAAACATCGGTCGCAAGCAACACTTGGAGTTCTGCTTTTGTCACCGAGCCATTCTGCCATCCAAGCCACAAGCAGGGAAACCGGAAGCGCAAGCAACAGGACTTCGCAACCAGTCGGCGCATGCCACGGCCCAAGCTTGCTGTCAATGATATCTGCTTGGTCCTTCTCATTGCATCGGGCTATGCATCTGCCAAGGCAAATACACGGAGGAACACCGCTCAAAACTGAGATGATCGCGCTCCGTCATGTCTACGCATAAACATCTATGCACCCGGAAGTTCTCTTGCAGACTTTGGTCTGGCTATGACTCCTTGCTATCTAGCATCCTATGCTAAAGGAGACCGCTTCGAAAACTTGTGAACCCACTTCCGGGCACTTCTGAAGCACTCTATGGCATTTCCTGGAAATATAGCTATGCTCAGAGTGCACCTACGGCCGAATTTGCAGTTGGCGGTCTGACTTGCCATCCTGTGCACTCCAACATTCGACTAGCCCTACAAGAGCGGACGTCTGCTTCCAGCCAACATGTGCCCAAAGCTTTGCAGGATTGTTGTAAGATGCCTAAGGATAATGTCAGCAGTCTACAAACGCGCTTTCCAGTCGTTTCATGGTTGAAGTTGTGAGCTTCGCGGCTTAGGGAATCAGGGTGTACGTTCACTCAAAAGCCACCATAACCGAGTAAGTGAGACTGCGGCCAAAAGCGAAGCCAAGAATCCACACGATCCCCAAACCGTCACACCCTCAAAACAAAGAGACCTCCCTTACGGAATCCCAGCTTGGCAGTGCATAGTATGGCAGAAGTGAACCGTGGCCGAGAAGGCGGTGTGGCCGAGAACCACGTCTCACTATCGTCCTGCGTTAGGACTCCTCAGTCTGCAAGCGGTGGCATATGTGGAAGTACATGCACATGCACATACACGTCTCTGCAGATATAGATAGGCTCATATCTGTCTAACATGTATTCATGTCTGTTACACAGGCTCTACATATCCAAAGGTTGTCTGAAATGTACTGACGCAGCGGAGTTGGATGGCAATCACGACGCATTCTCAGGCCCGATCCTCACCAACCTGGCACGTGGATGCACCAAACCTCCCTCATGCACAGGACCCTACGAACACCTCCTTCTGCAGGAGCTGTATCAGATCCGGATTTGAGAACAAGTCCATCAGCTCCTGCGGGGGCTACGTTGATGGCTGGAAAATCTAGGGGTCCAGCTGTCCAACAAACAAATAAACAAATCAAGAAAATAACAGACACATACATACATGCACAAATACGTACGTACATACATTACATTAATACATACATTACAGTACATTGCATTACATTGCGTTGCAATACATTGCGTACATACATGTGTGACATACAAATACCCATACACATGCATATATAAATACATGCACAAATGCACATGTTTTTGCCTCCTGCATGACTGAGCACACGAAGCAGGGAGTCCGGAACAACAGCATGGCGAATTAGACCTTACATGTTGTAGGTCAAGCTGATTTCCAGCTAAAGCCAGATCCACTTTCATGCGGACTTTCAATCTTGTCAGACTATTCGACCAGAGCGTACAGACTCAGCAAAATGCCGTTCGGCATGCACTCAGGTATGAAGTATCAGTTACCAATTCAGACTTCTCAATTAAATATGCACATGTCTCTTCACCATTCAAGCAGCAGTGTTGTCACTTCACCACTTCTGTACCACATTGCATAGGAGGACACCCGCACTCCACCCAGATTTGACAGCTGAATACACCAGAGGTCACAGCTACTACTGTATGTTCAAGTTTTCCATCCATCATGGAAACAAATCCACACCACGCATAACACCCAGAAGACGGTGGAACAAGCAAACGTACAAGTACATACACACATAGGTAAGTATGTCGTCGGTAAGTAGGTAGGCATGTATGCACACGCCTGTGAAAAGCAAAAACATTTGCGCCGCCTTTGAGATTTCTTCTCGGGTCCTTGCTCGACATTCCATCGCCGCCCTCGCCGTCGCCAGTAGCCTTCAGGGTTCCAGGGTTTCCGGGCTTGGGGTTTTGGACTCTCGCAACTCGGACTCTGCGAGGATTTTTGGGGTCGGAAGTGGCAGCACTTGGGGTTCAGGCGAGGCCTGTCCAGGTTTTGGGCTTTGGGGCCGTTTGCCTCATGCACGGCTAAGACTATACCTTTATTGCAAGATCTGGGGCTTTTCGACTCTCACGGGTAGCACGAGACCATCAAGGCTCCACAACAAGTCTGGGTAACACTGGATTGCATCTCAAGCGATTTCGCAGGGAGGCTCCTGCAACAAACAATGAAGCAACAGTACAACCGATGTTGAATTCGACACGATATGCCTGGTCACTACGCCACATATTCCTTTGGCGGCAACATCGTAAAGCAACAGAGATGGAATGCACGTGTTCACGTGGTGATGCTGATGGGCACGCTTTGGTCAGCATAGTACTTGTACTGCGAATTCATGAAATCGTGTTGAACTCGGCCTGCACTTCGAGAGGTACTGAGTGTCGGCGGTGGTGCTGTCAGGAACGTTGGCTGTCTGAGGCATGTGATCTACGTACCTGGAACTGGTTCTGTATTTGGACTCATCTGGGTTCGGGGCCTTATTTTGGGGATTACATTCCTGAGACGCGATGGTAGGTAGAAATGAAGCCAGGACTTCCGAGACCTAGCGTGTCACCGTGTGTCGTGCATTTAATATGCTCTTTCGATTATTGTATCGCGTAAAGCTCTGGGCTCGAGACTTGCCAGTTAGTGGAGCTGCTAACTACCGATCCTCGAGGGTTCCGTTCTCATGGTGGGGGATCCTCGCTTGTCGGGGCTGCCTTTCGGATCCATCATTGACATGGTGGCTTATGTCAGAAGTTCGGACCTACATGGGGCGACTTTCGAGGCTTTGTGGAACCAAGAACAATTTCGGTGCGCGGGCTCTTTTGAGGCTGACCGGGTGTACACCTTTTATGGCATACAGTATCGTGGGGTGATCAGCTCACTTCATCATCTGTGTGTCCTGGAGAACACCGTTACAATCTGCAGGCCAACCCTGACCGCTGATTCTTACAGGTCCGTCAAGGAGGTTTGTGCAGGACTTGGTGGGATTTCCATTGGGCTTCAGCATTTGGGAGGTCGTAACTTGGCCGTGCTTGACATCAATCCAGTTGTCTGTTCGGTCCTTAGGGCCAATTTCGACACTGTGCTGGAAGGCGACATTACAGACAGGACTGACCGCATCAGGCTGCATCAAATTTCGCCCGAAATCCGCGGCATGCTTTGCGCCAGCATCCCAGTTATGGTTTCCCCCCTTCCGGTTTAGGCCCAGGTTCCCTTGACCCTAGGCAAGAGATCCTGGCACATGTGTTGCAGACCACGTGGCACTTGCAGGCCTGTTGCCTCGTGCTGGAATGCTCGCCGGACATTGCCTTAAGCCCTCAGGCCATGCAGAGCATCACACAGCTTGCGGAGAAAGCCAATTTCGAGTTGCACTGTGTTGCCCTAGAGCTTGCTGACCAATGGGCATCCCACCGTTGCAGTTGGTGGGCTGTCTTGCTTCCGGCTGGCCTGCCGCCCTTGCAGCTTTGTTCCTGGCCAGTGTTGCGCCCTGCACTCACTGTTCAGGATGTCATTCCTGAATGGCCTGTCTGGCCCAAGGCCACTGAAACTGCGCTTCAGTGGGACTCCAAAGAGATCGAAATCATTGGCGAGCCGAAGCCTGATCTTGAGCCACTGCTTCTAGCGGCTACGGACCCTGCGCCCACCGCTCTTCACAGTTGGGGCTCTGCTTTTCGGCCCTGCCCTTGTGGTTGTCGCCCCTCTGCATTGAGCCAACACAGCCTTTGCAAATCACATTTCAGAGGGCCTGGTGTTCCGTCTGGTGTTGTTGAGGGCATTCGCTATCTGCACCCGGCTGAGGTAGGGCTGCTGAATTCTTTGCCACCTCTCTTTCTTCACCACCCAGACCCTAGGACTGCCCTCTGCTTTGTGGGTCAGCTTGCTGCCCCCCTTCAGGCGCTATGGGTATGGGCACATGTGCTTTCTTCCACGGCTCCCTGTTTCGGTGCTGGCCCACTCGACCCTCTTGCTGAGCTGGGTAAGTTCAAGACACTCTTGTTGCAGCAGAGACAAGATAACTGGCTTCTTCCTACCATGTGCAACGAAGGCCAGCTGCTTTTGCAGGATGAACAAGGTCAGCGACTTGAGCGCGCAGTTGGGCCGATAACCGCTGGCCAACTCATTTGTGCTGAGACAGCTCTTTTGCCCCCGGGCTTCAAAGTGCAGGTTCTGGACAACGGCCGTGTTCTTCAGCGCTCGGCCAAGCTTGCTTTTCAACCAGCCGGCCCCTCCTACTACCTGCTTGTACAAAAGAAGGCGGCCGCTTTGGATCAACAATCTCTCCCGTGCATGCCAAGCTGCAATGCCACTCCCCGTGGAGGCTGCTCTGCCTCGGTGGCCCTTTCCCCTCCTGCTTCCTGCGACCCGCCGGAAACACAAACGCCCCTGTCGACTCCACTTGATGCCTTGTGTTCTGTCGGAGCATCAGACTTCACCATTTGGTACGGCATCCTCCAGTGGATTCGCTGTCCTGCTGTCAGCATTGAATCCTGCTTGATTCCGCCCTGTGCTGCTGAGCTCCTGCTGCAGCTGTTGAGTGAGGACCTTCTCACTTCTGTTGCCGGCCCCATCTTGCCGCAGGGCCCTCTTATTCTGGTCCCTTTCGTTTCCCAGGGCCACTGGTCTCTGCTTGCACTTCGTGCTGGGCCTGCAGGTGTTGAGGCTGAATTGTGGGACGGAATTCCAAGCCGCAACCTGCACACTGCCAAGCTGATTGCGCAGGTACTCTGTCGACTGGATGGGGCAGCCTTGCTGTCTTTGACTGAGAGATCGCACTGGCTACAGCTTGATCCTGCTGCCTGTGGTGCCCATGTGGTGGCACATGCTGCTGCCCTTCTCATTCAAGCGGCTCCGCATGAGCTGCTCGGCTGGGCCTTGGATTTTCAGCGTGCCTTCCCGCCACATCTTGCTTTTCTTCAAGGTCTTGGCGGTCTGACTCCTGAGCAGGAGAAAGACTTGCGACTCTTGCTTGTTGAGAGAGGTGTGCCTGCCGATGCCGTCGCCTCGCGCACACAGGCTGCTATAGCTAAGGTCGGTCCCGGCCCTATTGCACAAGCACTCTTGCAGAAAAACCCTTGGCAGGCGCTGAAGGCTTGTGCTTCCAAGCCTTCTTGCATGTTCCGTTGGATTCTGGCAGAAGAGCTTCAAAGTCATGTGGAACAGCAAGCCCAAAAGAAGTTCGGAACTCAGGTCCCAGGAGCTAAGTCCAAAAAGGCTAGGCCTGCCCGGCGACAAACGCAGGCTCCGTTGCACGTCGACCCTTTGCAGCTTCGTCTTGCCCCAGGCTCCTTCACCACGGCCTCTGACTCGCCACTGGGCCAGCTTGCCTTCAATGAGGTTTGTGCTCAAGCCACGGGCATCTGCTTCTGCACCACTGCCCAAGCTGCCCCCTTAGGCAAAGAATCTCAGTGTTGATCCACTTGCTCTGGTGACCACAGCCGAGATTTCCGCTGATCAGGTTGGTGCTGCCAGGGTCAAGAGCATTCGCTATCCTGCGATTTTCGCTCCTACTGAGGAGGCTGTTCTGGTTGCCGGTTCCTTGATCCAGCTTGGTGACGATGATGTGCAGCTTGCCACTGCTGGCATTGCTGAGCTTGACCGCATTGACACTATAGTTTGCCGGCTCAACCTGTTCAAGGACGAGAGCACTCTGGCTTGGGATAAGGTTGCCGAGGCTCCCATCCGAGTGCTTCTGCAGCAGATCCCCGCGCTCCGGGTCTGTGTTGACCCCTCGTGCAGCCAGGCCTGTGGATGCTTCCACTCAGCTGTTGACGAGGTCGTGGAACACCTTTTCCTTGACATCTGGGCCCGCCAGTGGTGCCGATTAGGTGGGGCAAGGGTTAAGGCGACCGAAGCTGATGTTTTCCAGGCTTATGTGCCCGTGCCGGCCTCAGCGGTGACTCACCTGCTAAAGCTTGTCCACACAGGCCTGTATTTCGAACCTCGGGCTTGCGACGGCACTGGCCCCCACCCTGCATGGTCTGTCGTGTGGTTGCCGGGTGCCTCTCTCGCCACTGCACAACATGCTCTTCGCACGACCGAAAAGGCCCTTGCACTTGCCAGGTTGGGAACCAAGTACGGTTTGAGAACTCGGGAAGCCGATGAGCAGCAGGTTTTCGAGCTGCACAGGCCCCAACACCAATTCTTGAAGGTGCGGGTCTCGGCCCACTACCGTTTGCACCCGCTCCCTCACGGACTGCAAAGGCCGGCTCTGGTCCAGCTCCTGAAACAGTGGGGCTGGAATGGCGAACCTCTCCAGCCGGATCGAGGCGACTCCATTGGTGCTGCATGGCTCGTCGGGGCCTCATGTGAGCCCCCTGCTCCTGCCCTGCCGCTTGGCACTGACTTCGTCTTGATCTCCAAGCTTCGTGACATTGGTGCCTCTGGGAAATCTGCCCCTCTGCCGGTCTACGCCTCCTCGCGTACCAAGAAAGCTTTGCTGCTTGATGACGACGAGCCCAGTGTTGACCCATGGTCGTGTGGCCCGGACCCATGGACTTTGGCCAAACCTCCGGCAAACTCTACTGCTGCCCCTTCGGCCTCTACTTCGACAGCCAGCACTAAGCTCGAGCAAATCAAGGCGGACTTGCGCCAGGACCTCCAGCAGCTCGTCAGCGACCAGCTTGATGCCAAGCAAGCCAATGATCCCCCGCCGGGGTTGAGTGAGCATGACCACCGCTTCCATCAACTCGAGGTGGGGCTGAGCGAGGTTCGTCACCAAAATGTGAAGTTTGAAAGTTGGTTTCAATCCTTCGGGACGAAGGTGAGCGATCAAGCACAACAAATCCAGACCCTTGCCGGCACAGTCAAGGAGCAACACCAGGAGCTCACCGAGGTGCGTACTGATGTGCAGAGCTCCATCAAGTCTGCCGTCGTTGCATTGCAAACCGACCTGTCGGCGCAGATGAGTGCTCAGCTTACCGGGCAGCTTGAACAAATTCAGTCGATGCTGGCGGACAAGAAACCCCGCACCAGTTGACTACCTCCCCCCGGACACTCTGCTCGGCGACGGAGTGGGCCGGTGACTGGGTTTCGTCTTCAGCTTTGGACTTGGGCCTGCATTTGGTATGGCCTTCTCTCTTGTGCTTTTGGTGGCTCCACGCCTCCATGTCGCGACTTTACCTTTGGATCGGGTTGCCGGGTTCAGTTCTGCGACCAATCTTTGGCTGCTGCCGTCCATCGCGACCGCCATACCGGTCCTGCGACTCTTTCTGAATGGCCTTTGTCCCCTGAGCTGTCTGTTCAGCTGCCTACTCAGCTCCCGGACTTGGGTGCCGCCAGGGTTCTTTGGTCACCAGCTGCTTTTCGATACGGCGAGGCCGCGCATCCTGGGCCCTCTCCGTCCTTCTTCTTGAGCACTAGCAATCCCTCCGGACTCCGCAACAAAGAGTCCTTGTTCGCCGACTGGGGTGTCGGCATTCACTGCTTTGCTGAGACACAGCTCTCAGCTGCCACGTTGCCCTCACTTCCGTCGCCATGCAAAAGACATGGGCAGACTTGCTCGCTTTGTTCCGGGTGCTCCTGCACCCCTCCGCACCAACAGTCTCTGGGCTGGGGCCTGGACCGGCGTGCTACAAGTCAGCGACTTCCCGTGCCGAACACATCAAATTTCGTACCCCTCAGGCCTCTTCGAGACCGGTCGCATCGTGCTTGCCCGGCATTACTTGGAAGCTGTGATGTTTCAGGTGGCCACTCTTTACGGTTACCCCTCCGGGCCGACCTGGCCTGATGCCAGACACCGCACCGATGATATGCTCCAGTGCCTCACTCAGGAGCTGGTTCTGGGATCTCGGGGCCTTCGTGTCATTACGGGTGACTTCAACCATGACTTTGGATGCCTGGACCAGTGTGCTATTTGGCGCAGTCACGGCTGGATTGAGCTTCAGTGCTTGGCCGAGTCCCATTGGGGCATGACTCCTAGGCCGACGTGCAAACATGCAACCCGTCGGGACTACATTTGGTTGTCTCCTGAAGCTGCTGCTTGCTGTGTGCTTCTGTTCTTGATGTCTTCCAGGAGCATTCTACTTTAATTGCTGGGTTTTCTCTTTCGGGCCATGCCGTTTCTGAGATTACCTGGCCTTTGCCTTCCGAGATCCCCTGGTCTGAGGTCAGTGTTGAGGAATGGCATCCCGCTGGGGTTCACGAGCCCACCCCCACATCTGACCTGGCGAGGTTATGATGCGGCACGATGGGTTGTGCACTGAAGTCAAGCGATGGTTTCAACAGCTCCGTCGGCTCCAATCCTTGACGCATGCGCTCAAGGCCGCCAAGTCTGAGCCTGCCGCGGTGGACTACCGACTTGCACTTTGGCGGTCTATTTGCCGGGCCAGGGGTTTCTGTGGGGGCTTCTCTGCGTGGTGGGCCAAGAGACCCACTCGTCTGGTCGGAAGCCCGACAATGTTGCCCCAAACTGTTCCTGATTCAGGTACTGCCACCTGCCTGTTTGAGGACTTCCGGTGCAATTACCGCAGACTTGAGGCCTGGCATCTCCAGCGACGTGGGCAGATTCTGTCTTGCAAGTACGACAAATCATTGTCTCAGCTCTATTGCGAGCTCCGCGAACCCGCTCCGGAGCAAGTGGACACTCTTACAGCGTCCCGGGATTATGCCATTTTGGCTGTTTCCGACAAACAAGTGCACCTGAGCAGTTCTCTTGACCTGCGAGGCTCCTCCACTTGGGCGGTCGATGGACAACCGGTGGAGATATGTGAAGTTGATGATGTGGTGTGCACTCTGTCGGTTCCTGCATGCCCCGGACAAGAGCTTGAGCAAACTCAGACACTCTCCTCTGTGCCGGATATTCACGCTGAATTCGTTTCCCTGTGGGCCAGCCGTTGGCAACAACATGCCACGCTAACTGCCCCCGAATGGCAGCGCTTTCTAGCTTTTGCTGCCGCTTTCTTGCCTCGACAGGTTTTCAGCCTGCCCCGCATTTCGGTTGAAGACCGGCTCCGAGCAGTCAAACGTTTCCGCCCCAGAGCAGCCCGTGGCCCTGACGGCTGGGCTAAGGCCGACCTTCTGAACATGCCTCCCCCCCGGACTCAGCAGCTGCTGGATTTCCTTGCAAAGCTTGAGGCCGGTGAGTGCTCTTGGCCACAGCAGCTTGTTGTGGGATTCATTTGCCTTCTGTCCAAACAAAACGGCCGAGCCGATGCCCACGGCTATCGCCCGATTTGTCTGTACTCAATCATTTCTCGTGCTTGGGCCGGCCTCCGAGCTCGACAAGTGTTGCAGGCACTGAAGCATTGTGTGCCAGATGGGTTGCATGGCTTCGTCCCTGGTCGAGAGGCCACATCTCTGTGGTACGGCATCCAGGCGGAAATAGAGCTTTGTGCCCAGGGCGATGCCCCACTTCTTGGCCTGAGCACGGACATCATCAAGTGCTTCAACAACCTCCCACGCCTCCCTTTGTTGGCGGTTGCTGCTCAGTTGGGCACACCGTGGCAGGTTCTTCATCCTTGGACGGCCTTTCTCACACAAACTGAAAGGCGATTCCTTGTCCGTGGACAGGTCAGTGAGCCGTTAAAGTCTACTTCGGGCTTTCCGGAGGGGTGCCCGCTGAGCCCCCTCGCCATGCTACTGGCAGATGTCGCATACCATGCCTACATGCAAGCCTTCGTGCCGGAGGTTCGTTCTTTGAGCTACGTCGACAATCTGGCCACCTTGGCATCCACTCCGGCTCAGCTTGCCCGAAGTTACCAGGTCACTCAGAGCTTCATGGATTTGCTCAAACTGAGCTTGGATGTAGCTAAGACTTACACTTGGGCGACTGCCCCTGCGGATCGTAGGGTCCTTCCGGCCCTGGGGTTACCGGTATCAGACTCCGCCCGTGAACTTGGTGGGTTCCTGGCCTTTGGACCACGGGTCCATAATGCAGAGCTTCAGCTCCGGTGCACAGCCTTGCAACCCGTGTGGGCTGCCCTGCGGAGGTCTCGTGCGCCTCTTGGGCTCAAACTTTCTGTGTTGCCAAAAAAGTGCTGGGCGCGCGCACTACATGGCATCGCAGGTTGCCCTCTTGGCCAGGCACATTTGCAATCCTTGCGCACCAGCGCCACTTCTGCCCTACAGATTCGGCCTGGTGGATCCAGCTCACTCCTTCGTTTGTCTATTGTGCCTGACATGTGTGCCGACCCGGGGTTCTATCAGCTATGGGCCTGCATCCGAGACTTGAGACGAATGGCTTGCAAAGTCAGTGGTCTCCTAGGCTCATGGCGTAGTTTTATGGCTGCCTAATGCTGCCTACGATGGTCGGTCCCTCCACGGGCCTTTCACCAAACTTCTGCAAGTACTGTCTCAGGTCGGCTGGGCCGTTCTGGTCCCCCCCTTGGTGATGGACCATGAGGGTTTGCAACATGATGTGCTGAAGGCCCCTGCTCTTTTGTTGCGACGGCGACTGGAGCACGCCTGGCTGAGGTTTGTCGCCTTTGCTCACAAGCATCGGGCCACCATGCACGATCTGGACGGCATCGACCCGTCGCTCTTGCAAGCTGATGTCGGTGGGCTCTCCGCCCTTGATACGGCTCGGTATGCAGCGGTTCGGTCCGGTGCCTTTCTCTTTGACCACGTACAGTCGCGGTTTGACTTCACCAAAACCGGTGATTGTGACCTTTGTGACGTGCCGGATACTGCCCAACACCGTGTTTGTGTCTGCCCAAAGTTTGTGAATGCAAGAAGGCCGCACGAATGGGTGTGTGCCAGATGGTCTTCGTTACCATCGTGTGTCACACACCACCTGCTAACTCCTGACAACCCGCACCTGCCGCTTTTGCGCAAACTCCTGCATGGTCTGCCGGATCTTTCGGGTTCTTTTATATTTTATGTGTTCAGGGACTAGTTTAGGCTGGCAACACCTTTTCACGGATGGCTCATGCTACGATGCTTGGGGCAATGACTTCTCCCTCGCTGCCTGGGGCGTTATACATGCTCAGCTGGGCGTTGCCCTGGCTTGTGGCCCAGTGCCTGGTGTTCTTCAAACGGCTCCCCGGGCTGAAGCTTGGGCAATGATCGCTGCCGCCAAATGGGCTATCTCGGTAGCTAAACCTTGTTTGATTTGGTCGGACTGTCTCAACGTTGTTGATGGAGTACAGGCCATTCAAAATGGCAGAGCGTACGCCGGGTAACCCCTATCCCCCCCGGTGGGGTTGCTGACGCGCGGAGGTTGCTGACGGGCGGAGGGGCGGACCCGACCAGAGGGGGGGGGGTAGTTAGATAGATAGTTAGTATCTGATGGGCGGAACCCGCCGGCAAACAACCGGTGGAAACTTGACGGAGATAGATAGTACCTGACGGGCGGAGGTCGCTCGGTCGGAGGTAGCTGACGCGCGGAGGGTGGGTAGCTGACGGGCGGAGGTTGCTGACGGGCGGAGGGTGGGTAGCTGACGGGCGGAGGTTGGGTGGGTAGCTGCTGACGCGCTGACAGGCAGAGGTGACCGGACCAGAGGGGGGGGGGGAGATAGTTAGATAGATAGTTAGTAGCTGACGGGCGGAACCCGCCGGCAAACAACCCGTGGAAACTTGACGGAGATAGATAGTACCTGACGGGCGGAGGTCGCTCGGTCAGAGGTAGCTGACGCGCGGAGGGTGGGTAGCTGACGGGCGGAGGTTGCTGACGGGCGGAGGGTGGGTAGCTGACGGGCGGAGGTTGGGTGGGCAAGCGCAGGTTGCTGACGGGCGGAGGGTGGGTAGCTGACGGGCGGAGGCTGGGTGGGTAGCTGATGCTGACGCGCGCTGACGGGCAGAGGTAGGTGACGTGGAGGGTGGGTAGCTGACGGGCGGAGGGTGCTGACGGGCGGAGGGGCGGAACCGACCACCAGAGGGGGGGGAGGTAGTTAGATAGATAGTTAGTATCTGACGTGGAAACTTGACGGAGATACATAGTACCTGACGGTGCTCGGTCGGAGGTAGCTGACGCGCGGAGGGTGGGTAGCTGACGGGCGGAGGTTGCTGACGGGCGGAGAGTGGGGCAGGTAGCTGATGCTGACGCGCGCTGATGAGGCAGAGGTTGCTGACGCGCGGAGGGTGGGTAGCTGACGGGCGGAGGTTGCTGACGGGCGGAGGGGCGGACCCGACCAGAGGGCGGGGGTAGTTAGATAGATAGTTAGTATCTGACAGGCGGAACCCGCGGGCAAACAACCGGTGGAAACTTGACGGAGATAGATAGTACCTGACGGGCGAAGGTCGCTCGGTCGGAGGTAGCTGACGCGCGGAGGGTGGGTAGCTGACGGGCGGAGGTTGCTGACGGGCGGAGGGTGGGTAGCTGACGGGCGGAGGTTGGGTGGGTAGCTGATGCTGACGCGCGCTGACAGGCAGAGGTGACCCGACCAGAGGGGGGGGGAGGTAGTTAGATAGATAGTTAGTAGCTGACGGGCGGAACCCACCGGCAAGAGCAAATTTCTGACGGGCGGAGGGTGGGTAGCTGACGGGCGGAGGCTGGGTGGGTAGCTGATGCTGACGCGCGCTGACGGGCAGAGGTAGCTGACGTGGAGGGTGGGTAGCTGACGGGCGGAGGGTGCTGACGGGCGGAGGGGCGGAGCCGACCAGAGGGGGGGGGGAGGTAGTTAGATAGATGGTTAGACGTGGAAACTTGACGGAGATACATAGTACCTGACGGTGCTCGGTCGGGAGGTAGCTGACGCGCGGAGGGTGGGTAGCTGACGGGCGGAGGTTGCTGACGGCGGAGGGTGGGGTGGGTAGCTGATGCTGACGCGCGCTGATGAGGCAGAGGTTGCTGACGCGCGGAGGGTGGGTAGCTGACGGGCGGAGGTTGCTGACGGGCGGAGGGGCGGACCCGACCAGAGGGGGGGAGGTAGTTAGAGCGGAACCCGCCAGCAAACAAGCCGTGGAAACTGGACGGAGATAGATTGCTCGGTCGGAGGTAGCTTACGCGCGGGAGTGGGTAGCTGACGGGCGGAGGTTGCTGACGGGCGGAGGGTGGGTAGCTGACGGGCGGAGGTTGGGTGGGTAGCTGATGGCGTTGCTGACGCGCGGAGGTGGAGGTTGCTGACGGGCGGAGGGGCGGACCCGACCAGAGGGGGGGGAGGTAGTTAGAGCGGAACCCGCCGGCAAACAAGCCGTGGAAACTGGACGGAGATATAGACAGTAATTGACGGGCGGAGGTTGCTCGGTCGAAGGTAGCTGACGCGCGGGAGTGGGTAGCTGACGGGCGGAGGTTGCTGACGGGCGGAGGGTGGGTAGCTGACGGGCGGAGGCTGGGTGGGTAGCTGATGCTGACGCGCGTTGCTGACGCGCGGAGGTGGAGGTTGCTGACGGGCGGAGGGGCGGACCCGACCAGAGGGGGGGGGGGGGTGGTTATATATAGATAGATAGTTAGTATCTGACGGGCGGAACGGGTCGGCAAACAACCCGTGGAAACTTGACGCAGATAGTACCTGACGGGCGGAGGTTGCTCGGTGGAGGTAGCTGACGCGCGGAGGGTGGGTAGCTGACGGGCGGAACCCGTTGGCAAGCGGAGGTTGCTGACGGGCGGAGGGTGGGTAGCTGACGGGCGGAGGCTGGGTGGGTAGCTGATGCTGACGCGCGCTGACTTGCAGAGGTTGCTGACGCGCGGAGGGTGGGTAGCTGACGGGCGGAGGGGCGGACCCGACCAGAGGGAGGGGGGAGGTAGTTAGATAGATGGTTAGTATCTGACGGGCGGAACCCGCCCGCAAACAAGCCGTGGAAACTTGATGGAGATAGATAATACCTGACGCGGAGGTTGCTCGGTCGGAGGAAGCTGACGCGCGGAGGGTGGGTAGCTGACGGGCGGAGGTTGCTGACGGGCAGAGGGTGGGTAGCTGACGGGCGGAGGTTGGGTGGGTAGCTGATGCTGACGCGCGCTGACTGTTGCTGACGCGCGGAGCGCGGAGGTAGCTGAAGCGCGGAGGGTGGGTAGCTGACGGCGGAGGTTGCTGACGGGCGGAGGGTGGGTAGCTGACGGGCGGAGGCTGGGTGGGTAGCTGATGCTGACGCGCGCTGACTTGCAGAGGTTGCTGACGCGCGGAGGGTGGGTATAGCTGACGGGCGGAGGTTGCTGACGGGCGGAGGGGGGCGGACCCGACGGCGGAGGTTGCTCGGTCGGAGGTAGCTGACGCGCGGGAGTGGGTAGCTGACGGGCGGAGGTTGCTGACGGGCGGAGGGTGGGTAGCTGAAGGGCCGAGGTTGGGTGGGTAGCTGATGGCGTTGCTGACGCGCGGAGGTGGAGGTTGCTGACGGGCGGAGGGGCGGATCCGACCAGAGGGGGGGGGTGGTTAGATAGACAGTTAGTATCTGACGGGCGGAACTCGCCGGCAAACAACCCGTGGAAACTTGACGGAGAGGTTGCCGACAGGCGGAGGGTGGGTAGCTGACGGGCGGAGTCTGGGTGGGTAGCTGTGGGTAGCTGACGGGCGGAGGTTGGTGACGGGCGGAGGGGTGGACCTGACCAGGGGGGGGGAGGTTGTTAGATAGATGGTTAGTATCTGACGGGCGGAACCCGCCCGCAAACAAGCCGTGGAAACTTGACGGAGATATAGAGAGTACCTGACGCGGAGGTTGCTCGGTCGGAGGTAGCTGACGCGCGGAGGGTGGGTAGCTGACGGGCGGAGGTTGCTGACGGGCGGAGGGTGGGTAGCTGACGGGCGGAGGTTGGGTGGGTAGCTGATGCTGAGGCGCGCTACGGGCAGAGGTTGCTGACACGCGGAGGAGGTAGCTGACGCGCGGAGGGTGGGTGCTGACAGGCGGAGGTTGCTGACGCACCGAGGGTGGGTAGCTGACGGCGGAGGTCGGGGGGTGGGTAGCTGACGGGCGGAGGTTGCTGACGCACCGAGGCTGGGTAGCTGACGGGCGGAGGTTGCTGACGCACCGAGCATGGTTTTGGCTGGCGGAGGGTGGGTAGCTGATGGGTGGAGGTTGCTGACGCACCGAGGGTGGGTAGCTGACGGGCGGAGGTTGCTGACGCGCGGGGTGGGTAGCTGACGGGCGGAGGTTGCTGACGCACCGAGGGTGGGCAGCTGACGGGCGGAGGTTGCTGACGCGCGGGGGGTGGGTAGCTGACGGGCGGAGGTTGCTGACGCACTGAAGGTGGGTAGCTGACGGGCGGAGGTTGCTGACGGGCGGAGGGTGGGTAGGTGACGGGCTGACGGCGGAGGTTGCTGACGGGCGGAGGGTGTGTAGCTGACGGGCGGAGGTTGCTGACGCGCAGAGGGTGGGTAGCTGACGGGCGGAGGGTGTGTAGCTGACGGGCGGAGGTTGCTGACGCGCAGAGGGTGGGTAGCTGACGGGCGGAGGTTGCCGCGCGGGGTGTGGGTAGCTGACGGGCGGAGGTTGCTGACGCGCGGGGGGCGGGTGGCTGGCGGAGGTTGCTGACGGGCGGAGGGTGGGTGCTGACAGGCGGAGGTTGCTGACGCACCGAGGGTGGGTAGCTGGGTCGGGGGGTGGGTAGCTGACGGGCGGAGGGTGGGTGCTGACGGGCGGAGGTTGCTGACACGCAGAGGGTGGGTAGCTGACGGGCGGAGGTTGCTGACGTACCTGACGGAGATAGATAGTATCTGACGGGCGGAAACCTTCAACCTCCAACCCGTGGGTACCTGACGGAGATAGATAGTATCTGACGGGCGGAAACCTCTAACCTCTAACTCGTGGGTATCTGACGGAGACAGATAGTATCTGACGGGCGGAAACCTCTAACCTCTAACCAGCAGGTAACCGAAGGGGGTTAGAGTAAGAGGTTAGGTGAGGTACATGATGCAAAATGGACAATGCTTCGAGGCCCATGCCGACGCCGACCTTTGGGACATCCTGGCAGCTCTTTTGGCTCAGCTGGACCCTGCACAATTTCAGGTTCGCCATACCCCCTCTCACTTGGATACGGGTCTTACCACTTCTCCTTTTGAGGGTTGGCTGGCGTGCCACAACGGCCATGCGGATACTCTGGCGAATTTTGCCAATTCTAACAGGCCGCAGTACTTCGTGCAAGTCTACCAGGCCGCGCTCCGCTACCACTCTGACATGCTGCAGACGCTTCGAGCTCTTCGCGGAATCTACTTTGCCATCGCTGATGCTACGGCCAGCCGAGGTGGCCGTGCACGAGAAGGCGTTGAGTCTGCAGATCTTGAGGAGCGAGCCCGACCTCTGGCCGTTCCCAGACGTGCTGAGCTGGAGTCTCTGATTCCGGTCGGATGGGCTCAGCTGGTTGCTGCAGCGGGCTGTGATCTGCCGAGTGATTTTATTCAGACTCTCTGCCGCTTTGTCTTTGTACAGGATAGCATTGCGGAGACTGCTTTTGCAGTGACTTGGCTGGAACTTGTTTTCATGTTGGCCACGGTTGACGACTTTGTTTATCCTGTTTCGGGCCCCCAGGGCGGTTGGCTTTCTCCAGCTTCAATTGCTTTTCTTCCTCCTCCGCCAACTGTTGCGGGGAGGCTCACTTTCGTGAAACGTGCCTTGCGACATGCCTTCAAGTGTCTTCGGCTTCAATGCTTGTTTATTTCGGGTGTTGATCGTACTGAGTTGGGGATCACTTTTCCTCTTGATGGCATTGTCATCGGAGCTGATGAACACCTTCTGCTCCGGGCCAGGGCTTCTCTAGGCCACTTTGCACAGGGGCGCCGTGTGAACTCCCGCGCTGCGCTCGCTCGGCCACTTTAAACTTGTTTCTGACAGACAAGGACGCTCGCAGGCCGCACTGCTCTTGCTGTGCGTCTGCACCGAAGCCCGTGTGAGTTTATTGTCTCGCGTAATCTATGCGCTGACCTGTTGAAGCAATCGACCCAACGAGGTGTACTAAAGGCTTTGGCCAACTGGGTTGAGCATTTTCTAGGTTTTGGTACACCTCGTAAGTCTGTGCGAGGCCGAAGATGTGGGGTTTAGGCCGGGTTTGGGCTTCGGGCCGGCAGCCTTGTCCTCCTCCTTTGCCACGACGGGGGGTGCCTGGCAGGCCAAGCCCAAGCACGCTGCAATGTGCAGGATAAAGCGTGTGTGCCTGTGCACATGTATGTAAAGCTGACATGCTTTTCAGATAAAGATGTAAACACACATGCGAATACATTGACACCATGTAGTGCTGGGCATATTTGGAAACTGCATGTACTGGGATTGAAACTGCAACTATGTGTGTAGGGATACACAGTGGTACACGTAGTAATTAGTAACATACATGCATACATACATGTTTGTCACTCGCGCTCGACGAAGTCAGTCGAGGCTGCTGAGTAAGACAGACAACCACCGGAGTAGACAGACAACCACCGCTGGACACATTGATACAGCCACATGCATTAACCACAAGTTCAGCGACTCCCAGTACACCAATCACATGCCACTTTCCAGCTCACAGACGGCAGTCCTGTTGTCATTGCTGTCATGCTGACAACAGACTTTCCCAAGGCCAATTGTCCATGCAGGCAGGCATACACACATACATTCGTACATACATACATACATACATACATACATACATTTATACATATAAGTGTATATTCACTTGGGTGCCACATCGAGAACCTCATGTCGCTGACTGGTTAGGCCTTCCTGAAGATCTGAAAACGTTGTATTTGCAGCGCTGTATGTTCGCCTCTCGCTCTGCCGAAGAGCAACTACATCTATGCATATGTATGTATATGCATATGTATATGCATATGAATAAAAAAGGAAATATACATACTATGTACATGTGTATATAAACAAACAGTATGTGTAATCAAATTAGGTGACCCAGAGGGAAAATGACGATTAAAACAAAAAAAGTACATAATGCATGACGACATCTAGAGTATTCCGCCTAGGACCTAGGAAACGACACGTAAGTTTGCAAATATGAGATTCCAACCAAAAGAAGCTATATGTATAGATATGTACCTTTACAGCTATATGTATAGATATGTACCTTTACAGATATGTTCATATGTGCAAAAACACGTTTATTCAAAGGTACATAAAAACAACAATCAAAGAGAAATGTAGACGTATACATATACACATCTATACATGTAAACTTATGCACGTGTATACACATGTACATATACATACCCATAGGTACATATAGACATAGAGACGTGTAGACATACAGACAAAGAAACATGTAGACATATAGCATGTATGCATGTGTACATTTATACATGTTTATATTGATACATCTATATTATACATCTGTACATACACATATGTGCATATGTACATATATACATAAATAAATATATATATATATATATATATATATATATATATATATAGATACACATACATAGAAACATATATACATATATACATGTAGAAGTGTATCTGTGCATGTTTGCTGTAAGCGTGTGCATGTGTGCATGCATGTGTGCAGATGCACTCCCATATCAGTATGGAATTAAAACACTTCCAAAACAAAAAGCGCAACTTGCTTAGTCGCCTTGTCCTCCACTGGAGCCTCTTTTGCCGCTGGTTGGGCTTCCTGCGGCTCCTGGCTGCATCTTGCTCGGAGAATCAGAATTCTAGCAAGCGTGCCTCTCAACATGCGTATAAGATGTACATGTATATACAGTCAAAGCTTGCTATAAATTGTAATACCATATCTGAAAATGAAACAGATACTGTGAGTATTGACACTACTATGATGAATATCCATAGTCATATTCTGTTCGCACTCATACAGAACGATAGGATATGATTTGGCCTAGTATAGTACGCTATTGATGAGTTACGGCAGAGTGCAATATGATATTGAACAAAACGGTATGTATAATATAGTACAATATGTCGGTACGGTACGGTATAGTACAACATAGCATGCGAATCGTGCAATGCAGTGTACTGTACTGTAATTCAGTATAGTTTGGTTCAATGTGGTAGGATCTGACATAATAAAGCAAAATACAATACAGCATCATGAAGTTTGATATCATGCCACAATGCAACAGGCCACAGCAAACAAAGAATGATGTGGCATCGTGCGCCACAACACAACATAACAGTCAACAAAACATAGGATGACACACCATAAGATGATACTAGTTGACATAAGATACCAGAACATTGCATAACATAACAGTGCACAACCTGACGTAAGATAACATCGTGTGAAACAAAAAGCATAAAATACTCGCCTACTGCAACATACAGATGTATGTGTACATTGAAACATATATATGTGAAGGTAACAGCCAGGCCCTCTGATTCTTCCAGCACCTGGGAGAGCCATCCTCCCAGCACAACGACGAGACAGTTTCGGCTGCAGCGAACTTTTTTTAAAGCGGTTGCAAAAGGAGTGTTGTATTGAAGGCAGGGACACACCCGTCTCGCCATGCAAGCGGTAAATGAAGACTGCCAAATCCAGCTACGCAACGGACAGCCGTAAGGTCGACAAAAAACCGCATTAGACCGTCCTCCCGCCACGGATCTCTGGTTCCTAAGCGATGCCATGCAATGCGAAAGCCGATGTCAACCAATCAGCTGGTCGAAAGAACCGACAACAAAATCAGCATTTGTCGGAGAAGTAGTGGTGCATCCAGTAAGACTGATAGAATCTGCTTTCTCCATTTAAACAGTGTTGCGCTGCGGGTGGTTCCCTGCAATAAGAGATCTTGAAGCACGACCCGTTTTCGGTGAGCCTTGCTACCCTTGTTCAGTGCTGCCGATGTAAGTTTGCCAGACAGCCTGGCTTGAATTTTCGGGGTGCTTCCAATTAAATGTCAAGGCATCTGCCACATCAAAACACCATGTAGGTCTTGACGTGGCTGACCGAGCTGCTCCACACCACAACAGAGTCCTAAGACCTTCAACATGCCTTGGCATCTAAACGATGTGGCAAAGAACCTGGTTCATGCCTCTACGCCATAAGCCATATGCTGAATCAACAGGCGCAGCTATGCCTGGTGCTCGCTGTTGTGGCACGCACTAAGCCGCGTCGAGATGCCCTCGAGGCCTAGATGAAGACCAAGAATAGCCTATTCCCAGGTCTCATGGTGCCGCCTCATATTGCCTTACAACGCGCTCTAGAGGGCAACAGACGACGCAGGCTAAATGAGCATTCAAATCTGCGACTGCAGTACTAGCACCGAAACGCGGGAGATGAAGGCAACGGTTGGGCAGTTCTCCGGAAAAGTTTTGACCGCGAGTCCACTCGGGAAACAACCTGGAAGTCATCTGTCCCAAGTCTACACGGCGCCGAGCCACTCAACTCACCCCTAAGCCACAGCCGAATCTGGCCTTAGGCCAATGGGGCAGGGCATGCCGAAAAGGGCCGCTTTGTCCCGGACTCCATGGCTAGTCCCTTGGCTTTGAGACCGCCTCGGAGGTGCCAGCTTTTCCTCAGACGTACAAGAGATCGGTCACGGGAGCAAAACGGGAAATCGGCCCAAAGCTCTTGCAGCCCGGGCTCAACACCTTGTCGTTGCCCCCTGTGAAAAGGAGCCCATGCTCTGGGCAAAGCACGATGGAGACTATGCCGCGGCTGTGCGCGCTCTGGACACTCAAGAGTAAGACGAGCTCGGGCTCGGAGTAGTGCCAGACGGAGATCGAGCCTGGGCCACTGAGTCTTCTCCCAGGCCAGGAAGCTTTCGAATCTTCGAAGCCATCGTGCCTGTGGAGCCACAGCCGAACAGCAGGCCTTCGGAGGACAACTCTGCAGTTTCCTTCGATAACAGCAATGAAATCCCCTTGAAGTCCGATCACGACACCTCCAGTTGGGCGATACCGAATGGCAGTGATGGATGTCGACCTCAGAACATCTCATGAAAGAAACGAGCATTTATTTGACCGGATGCTCACTCCGCCTGCCACGCCAGTACAAACTCCAGCCAGCGTGCGATAGATCTAGGGGACGGTTCAACACATCTTTAATTCGCTGTTCATCGTCGTAAATTCCCTCTTTTCTGCCCTGAACCCGAAGCCATGGCTTCGACAGATAAGCAGCTTTCCGAAGGGCTCCGTCAAGTTCAGGAGTTGCTTCAAGGAGCCCGCGATCTTCCACACTCGGATGGAGTGGCAGCCAGTGAAAACCTTAGGGAACAAAGTCGTGCAAGTCCCACCGTGTCGGTGCTTGTGCGACTACAACCAGCGCTGTGCATGCACGATACAGTGTCCATCTCGCCGTCGAACTGAAGGCAATTGATCACGTTCACCTGGGACATTGACGTATATAGGCGGGAGGATAGGCCCTCTCTCCTACGTACTCGAGGCATCACCGCTCGAGAAGCCCAGTTGCATGTGCATCCTCGACCTTGAACAATAGCCGGTAGGTGTTACCTCCACAGCTTCGAAGAAGCAAAAGGAGCAAAAGGTCTCTGAGTTTCTTGAAGTTCATCGCTTTCTGCAGCTTGCGCCGTGCCGCAAGCACGGCGTGCTTGCGGCACAGCATATCACGGCCGTGCCAGCCAAAAGCTCAACTAAGCAGACAGCCACAGCAAGAATGTGCACGTACACTGCAACAACGACAGACGTGTGTCACAGCACCGCAGTTCCAACATGTATCTAGAATCTAGACATGCCTGGAACACTTAGCTTTTTCTATTTTCCACCCTGCGACCCCGGCCCGGCCCGACAGCAGCATCCCAAATCGCCTTGAAGCTGCCACACGCTGAGCCCACGATCTGCGCTCGCTGCCACGAGGCGCCTCGTTCCACTGTGAACCGCGATCACCTGCGTCATGGCTCCGAGCCCCCGGTGTCGAATCTGCACTTTTGAGCAAAGACGGTGATGCTCGTGGCCGGTCTCCGCTGAATCCTTGTAATTACACTCAATCGGCATCATCGAATGCGAGGTGGTGCCGAAGCCGAACCGAAGGTACTGAACTCTACTCATCTGGGAGCACGGTGTAGAGGCTCCCGTTGCACTTCATTTCCGGTGCCTACATCGGAACTCGCTCAAGAAGCCTTGAGATGTCCTTCTTTTGTAGTCCCCACAAAGTCGCGGGCAGCTTTCTGCACAGAAGCTCCCATGCTCTCGAAATTCACAAAAGCAGCCCTGGTCACGGACTAAAACTCTTCAAAACCCATGTCACCCCATCTCTCACCCATTGGCTTGTATCAGTCTCGAAACAAACAGAAAGGAGCACAGTAGGAGAGATGGCGGGCTCTCCAGGAGACTTGCGATTGACGTGGCGTTGGCCGTGGCCTGAAAGCCGCTTGGCTCTGCTTCCTGGAACTCAGCGACCCGATGTAGGTCGTCTCCCTGGCACGCGATTGGCTGCAGGCTTTCGCGACGAATACACATGCAAACGTACATGCATGCATGTATGCTTTGGATGCTTTCGGAGGCACACGAAAGTGCATGCTGCTCCTACGCACATACCATTCATTCGTTCAGTCATAGACATACACGACACATAAATCCATGAGCACACATACGTATGCACATACGTATTTTTGTCAACACATCCACATACACATACTCACACTCATACTCACATGTATACATACATACATACATACATACAACACAATACAATACAATTCACCGACATACAGAAACACCTACATGCATGTACACACCTGCTTACCTACCTACCTTCCTACTTACATACATACATACATACGCACGTACTTACCTTTCTTTCAGACGCTGCAGAGAGATCCGCTTGGCGAGGCTGTTATGACAGGGAGCCACCCCGGCTACTGTGAGCCATGTGCAATTGCACATGTCGGTGAGAAACGTGCTGGCAGTCATAGCAGTGAACGGACCTGCCACGGATGGCCCGTCAATGATCCGAACCCGCTGTAGACTGCATGGTACGACAGTAGAAATACAAATAACCGGTGGTCAAAGCTTGCGGAGGCATCTCGGATTGGATGATCGGCTCTTTTGAATCATCGCACTGCCAGAAGGTCGGCTCCGCATCTGGAGGATATGTGCAGAGGAGGGCACGGTAGTGACCGGAGGCTGCATTTGGACCCTCGTGCAAAATCACTGCAATCAGTTGGTATTCGCAGTATCGGACAGTTAGGGTGGAGTCATGCGGAAGAGGGCGATGCTGAAAGCATGGTAGCAAGATGCGGGGATCCGGCAGCACACGAGTGACATCCTTGGCCCCATTGGCCGTGGTACTAAACCTGTTGACCTGCAAAACCAAAAGACCCGGCTCACTGTCCAGTGCAGTGAGACCAGCAGCTGCTTGATCCTTCCAGGCATGAATAAGTCGTTGTATCGTGAGTCTACTATCGGGACCACTGCGACACTGAGATGGAGGCATAGCAAGGAGCATGGGCCATGCGTCCCCACAGTCGCGCACCTGGCAGCGGGGATGGTTGTCATCCGCAATAAGAAGGCGGTTTTGCTACCTGCCCAAGAGCAGGTCCGGAATGACAAACCTGCGACAGAAGACAAGATACTCAGCCACATCATGTTGAGAGTGTGGGCGGGTCCAGGGAGTATGAAGAAGCGACCACTGAAGGGAGGACCAAAGGTCTGGAGCAGGCGCCTGTGTGACCATTCGCCGCACGACTGAATGCATGGCCTCAGACCATATCACCTGAGGGCGGGCCATACAGGAGCATATCAATTGGTTGTCCCAATGAAGGCAGCAGAGAACCGAATTGGCATAGCAGTGATTGGAGGAATTTGTGATTCGGAGTAGCACAGGAGTCTGGACATAAAGGCAGTCTGAGTGCAGGACCCCTGCAGGCGACGGGCGAGCTCGGCTGCAAGGGCTGAGCGGCCCATCTTCTCTGGGCGCAAAGAACCGCCCACCAGCTGCCAGATCGCTGAGTTGGCCAGCGATCGGAGGCTCAGATAGAGCTCGGCTGCTTCCGGCGACCGAAAGCCCACCTGGAGGAGGAAGGGGACCGTGGGTCCCTGAAGTGGGCCGTTGAGGCGCTGGGTGGAATGGAAGCGCATGATGGCCAGAGGACAGAGACACTGCTTCTGGAGGAGTTGCAGCTTCTCGAGCATCTTGGAGACGTGGATGGGCTCCTGATCCTGACGGGGTACCAGAGCCTTGGTCTCTGGATTGTAGCTCAAGAATGGTATGCGAAGCTCCAGATCGCCCTCCTTCGGCAAGAACACCTGTAGGGTGGTGGCTGTCTTCAGCTGCTCCTCGTTCTTTACGGTGTCCTTGATTCTCTTCACGAGGGTCTCCAGCATGGTGTGCAGTAGGAAGGACCTTAGAGGCATTGCAATCTCGTCCATCTTCTCCTGCTTCTGCTCTTTCAGGGCGTGCCAGTGCTGAGATTTCTGCACGAAAAGAGGAACCAGAGAGAGAGCACTCTCTTTCTTGAAGAACATGACAAAGCCGTTCTGAGTCCTGTCTATGCCCATTTGGTCCTCGTGGCGTAGAAGGAGTTTGCCCAGCAGCCACATCATTCCCTCCGGGGCTCTGGTGTCTGCCTCTGGCGATCTGCGAATCGGCTGTCTGCGAGGGCCTTGGTTCTTGGGTTGGCCCAGCTGATTGCCCTTTCCTCGCCCGCCCCGGCCGAAACCACCCTTGGATTCCGGTCTGGCCCATTTCGTGTCCCGCTCCTTCTCTTGGTCCTCCGCATCCTCCACCTCGTGACGTTTGTTCGCCACGTCCAGCTCCATCCCCATGCCCATGGCTCCCTCGCCCCAACACTGGAGGAGCTGCAGCTCTGCCTGAACCTCCTGTCTCTGTGCCTCTTGAAGAGAGAGACCGCTGCCCAGAGCCTGTGCAGAGGCCAAGCTCATGTTGGACGAGAAGGCGAAGGGTGATAGTTTGCTGCAGAACAGGGCACGCGGCAACGTGTTGGGTCTTAAAGGAGACCGTGAGCCTGCACCAGCTACAGTTGAAGGAGCGGCAGTGCATCCGAGGGGGCGACCGTGGGAGAGGAGGCATCAGCCTGTGTTGGTGGGGCGGCAGGAAGCTCGGAGTGATCAACACTGGAAGCAGGATCCACGGCCGAGACAGAAGAGGAGGCAGCAGGCGCAGCAGGGTTCTTGATCAGGGAGTCGTCGTGAACCTGAGCCGGGCAGGAATTGGTGTAGTGATGGTTAAGAAAGGGTGGCCAGGCAGCAAACTTCCTGTTGCACAGGGTGCAGTGGGGCATCCCGTCCTTAGCAAAGTGCATGAAGCGTGCTCGTAGCTGTTGTTGCGAAGGAGGTCGAGAGTGAGAAACACCCTCGCCAGTGGAAGGAATCAAGGTGGCGGCCGCGTTGCCAGGAGGTGTCGTGGTCTTGGTCGAGACGTGTGGAACATCAGGCTCAGCAGGAGGTGCGACAACTTGGTCTGATGATGGCCCATGTGATTTGGTGCAGTGGGTTCGAAGGGCAATCAAAGTGGGAAAGGTTTGCGGGCAGTGTGGGCATGCATAGGGGCGCGTAACGATGCCCGAAACATCCATAAGGCTGCAGCGAGAGGTCTCTGGTACAGGCTGTGTGGTAGAAGACAAAGGGGCAGATGTGTCCGACACAAAGGACGCAGGAAGAGCAGCCCTCCACCGCACACGTTCAGGGGTGTCGAAGGCCTCTATGCTGAGGGAGGGACGAGACTGACGCGATTGCAGCTGCTTGGATAGCTGGACAATGGGGTCTTGGAAGCGGAACCTGGCATAAAGTTCAGCTGTGGTTTCATGAGTGATCCAGCTTGGGGATTTGAGAACAAGGCGGACCTGCTTGGCCACTACTTGGCGAATGAGATCAGGGCCTCGAGGAGGCAGGCCAGTACTGGTAAGGCCGTATCTCAGCGTGGAGAACACACAAGCAGTCCAGAGCTGCAAGCGCTGAATGGGTAGGATGTGCTTGGATCTGAGCAGAGAGAAGAGGCGACTGAAGTTGGCCCAACTCTGCTTGATCCTGGTTTGGAGAGAGAGCTTCTCGAAACAGTCGTAGCTTAGCACGATACCCAGGTAGGGATGCTGCTTGCGAAAGGGCAGATCTAATGGTCCAGTGGCACACATCACTCGAAGACAGGGGCCCTTGTCCTTATGGCGCTGCAGAAGAGGACGTAGAAGTCTAGACTTGGCGGGGCCTCGGAGACCATCGAGGATCACTGTTTTGGAGTCACTCACTGACATGCCAAGGGAGGTCAGAGTGTCAATGATGAAAGCGATGTCCTGTAAAATGCGAAGAATGTCTTCAGGCTCATGGACCTCCCATTGTGCAAGGATGTCATCAGAGAACGCTGTAAGACAGGAGAGAGGAATTTTCGCACTTAAAAGATGGAGGACATAGCAGATGAAGATACTCCAGTGCTGGAGATAGGCTGCATCCTTGACGCACCCCCGAGTGGAGCTCGACAGCAACGGAGTGCGATTTGTGCGTGATATTGAGAGTGGCTTGACGGTGGATATGGAGAATGAGGTCAATGAGCGTGGGTTCCACAGTCGCAAAAACAAGAGCTTTGTGCAGGATCTCTCGCGGCAAGCAATCAAACGCCCGGGAAAGATCCAAGGAGAGGGTGATCCCTCCTTTACATTTTCCCGTAACATGCCCTTGACGACGAAGGTGAATGTTATACTTTTGCGCTTCAAGAGTAGTGCGTACAGCAGCGCAGTGGGAACACGCGCGTTCGATAGAGTCGACCCCCAATATAAGCGAACTGGGGGAAGCGCGTGGCAAGATGCTGCACAGTCGGGCGCAGAAGACCAGCCGCCAGTTTCGCCAAACATTTCGAAACCGGATGTAGAAGAGCGATAGGCCTGAGGTTCTCAGGACATTTCGGAGGCTTCGACGGTTTGGCCAGGAGACACAGCGAAGATTTTGGCCACTGTCCCGGCATGGGGTCCGTCATATGAGTGAGCCATTGGGTCAGGGCCGGGTGAATAACATCCGCAACATGGGCTGCAGCAAGGGACCAAAGCGGGGCAGGGGCAAGCCAGGAGGGCAGAGCCTTGCCAGAGGGAAGTTGCGCAATGACACCAGTAAGCTCCTCCACATCAAACGGGGTAAAAGAGTGGCCCGGTGGATGAGGCTCCGGCAGGGAGGAGCGGTAGAGGCGGCAGAAGTAGTCCTTCAAGGTCTGCGCTTCCTGAGCCGTGGTGAGGGGAGTTCCCTGCGGATCCCGGAAGAGGATTGGCTTGGGTGTCGTTTTGGGAGCAAGACGCTTCACCACCTGGTAAACAGCCGTAAGCCCTTTATGAGCAGCCTGCTCCGCTTCCTGTAAGATCTGCTGGATGCGATGTTGCCTATTTTGAGCGCAGAGCAGTTTGAGATTCTTGGCAGCCTCCTTCAACTCGGCCTCCCTGGGCCAAGCCCGAGAGGCAGAGGGATCCTGTCGCTGCACG